CTTCCTTAGGACTTCTATTTTTCAGTGTGGACTTGGGTAGCAGTTTGCAGAAAGATAGATCTCTGAGTGAATCTGTGATTCTGTGAGCAACTCAATCTGCCTGTCTGCTTTGCCTGATTTTGGGTAAAAGTTGCTCTTTTTTCAAAATGAAAAATTCAATATTTACATAAAAAATTATAATATTCACATGCAAGCCATGCCCAGCCAGTCACATGACCACCAAGCCATGCCCAGTCAGCAAGCCATGGTCATATGACCATCAAGCCACATCCACAAATTAGACCACATCCACAGAACAGGTTGTTAAGAAATTTGAATCCCACCCCATCATATGGCTTGTTTGATTGTTGCTACTGGGGGATGAGGTTGTTACTTCTGTAAGCTGTCCAGAGCAACTAGGAATAAATTGGTGGCATATAAATTTTCTTAATCAATCATTGCTTCATCTCCGTTTGGCTGAGGTATGTAAAAGACAGCTGCCCATCACATTCTTAACTATCGGCCATGCAAACCTAAACAGCTAGATATTGGAATTCAGTAACATCTAGAGCAGGGGTTTCAAACTCAAGACCCATGGACTGGATCCAGCCCACGGGGTGCTTAGATCTGGCCCACAGGGCTGACCTGGAAACAGCAAAGCACTGGCCCGTGGTGCCTATGCCAGCAAAAATGGACCTCAGGAAGGCCGTGTTTTCGCTGATAGAAGGTTGCAGGAAGCTGTCTCAGAAAAAAATGGAGCATGAGAACATGTTTCCACCAGCAGAGTGCTCAGGCTACCACAAGCGCCCTGGACACAAGTGATGACACTCTGGCCACGCCCACCCTGACCAAGATCAAACACAATTGTGATGTGGCCCTCAGTGAAATCAAGTTTGACACCCCTGATCTAGAGAGTCACAAGTTAATAGAACTATTTTAGTCTAGTTCAGATTTCTACCAGTTTCAACTGGAATGATTTGAAGTTGGCCAGCTTTAACTGAACTAACTAGAGATGTGAAATACTCTTTTTCATGATTCACAAATGTGATGCTTCCAAAGTTTTCTTATGACATTTGTTGCATGTGGAAACTGTCATTTGTAAAAATGAGAATTGACGGTTGTCTTTGATTGTGGCAACAACAAACATTTTTTGATTAAACAAGGAGGCAGAGCTATTTATGTAGAGCTGACTTTGAGTCTAGTAAGTTCATTCCATTTTTCTAAACTTACATGCCAACATGGTCTTATATAAATATGATTATGTACAACCCTTTAATTATCTGCCTGGAGAAAGCCCTGTGTTTGTAGAGATGAGGATACTTTTTTTAAAATGGATTTTTTTTTTTCTAAGTTGGCCTCATTCACCTTTGGTTAATCAAAGCTAAACAAAAGATCTTGTTGGCACAAAACTGGCTGAGAAAGTTTACAAATTTGGAAGCCTCCAGTGTTCTCCTTTAACAACACATGTAACCTTTGGAAAGTCCACAGTTGTCAGCTTGGATTGAGAATTAGGCAAGCATTCTTTGATTCCAACCAAATGTTCATTTCCAGTGCGGGGGAATTTGTGGCTCTCCAGATGTTGATAAGGTACACATTGCAGTATCTCTAGCCCAGGGGTGTCAAACTTGTGTCATCATGGGGATGTCACGTGACGTATTGGGACTTTTCCCCCCTTCGCTAAACTGGGCGGGGGCAGCGCATGACACATCCAGCCATGAGTTTGACACCCCTGCTCTAGCCTATCTAGCTTAGGCAGTGTTTCTCAGGGAATTCTGGGAGTTGACATCCACATATCTTCAAGCTTCCAAGGTTAAGAAATGCTGGTCTATTTGAGGGATGCTTGGAGTTATAGTTCAGAAGCATCTGGAAGGTAGTAGATTCTTCTGTCTTACCACTAACTGGCCAGGCCACTTAAATGCCCAGGAGGATCTCAGTCAGTCAGTCAATCAGAATAGAGCTAGAAGGTACCTTGGGGGTCTTCTAATCCAACCCCTGCTCAAGTAGATATGGAGTCAGGTAGGAGTTAGGTGGTTTGAAGAGCATTTTAATTTTCTGAGTAGAAGGATTAATTTTATTTTCACTCAGAAAATAAACTGAGGTACATGTTCTGGTCTTGAAGGAAGTGACTCGGCAGTAAACTTATTTGGCTTATTTCTGAGCCAAAGCCAATATGAGCCATGGGAACGGATTGTCCACATCTTGTGGAACACAACATCAGTCTCTCTTTATATCCTGTAGAACTTTGATTATTATTGCTTGTTATTTCTTAGCCTCCCTCCCCCCACCCTACACACACCATTCTGCATGTTAATTTCTTTGTTAACACGCAGAATTAAAAGGAAATTGCTATGATTTCCCCCTTAATATTTGCTGTCATGACTGAGTCAGCACTGGGATGAGGTGGGGTTACAATGCTACATGCTTAAAATAAAATTTATGTAATCCATCATCTTAGCTGTTTTTCCTTTTCAGGTTTAACTCATTAAAGGCTATTGGCTGTGATTACAGGTGGCCATATGCAATAAGAAATACAGATTCTGTTCAAATAAAATAGGAAAAGGCTCTTCCCCCCGACTTTTCCCCTGAAATCTGGATAGAATTTTAAAATGCTAGAAAGCGTTACTGCCCGCTTCACTGCCTGTCTGGTGAAATATTTTCTCTAAAAATGCAGTGGGGCAAGGTGCCTAAATATTGTTATTCTTTATTATTCCAAAAAGATCACCAATAATTTGTATGCTGAGAATCAACATGGGAAAATTAAAAGAAGCTTGTCTTTGACTGGGCAAGCCATAATTTTCAGAACTAAAAATCTATTAAGAGGGTAAAAATGAAAGTCTCAACCTTATAAGAAGTAGAAAACGCTGCTAGCCTGATTGCTCAGAAATTAAGACTGAGTAGGCAATGTCAAATGGGAATTTTTTCATGCAATGAACATGCTTGTTATTTCCTGTTTTTCTTGGTTCTTTTTCTAAAAAATGTGAACAGATGGAGGAGAGTAAGGTCAGAAGACAATGCTGTTTTATTATCATGTTGGTGGTTTCTTCCACCTTTAACTTTCTTCCCTGAAATTTTTTAAATCTTGAAAATATTGAGAAACTAGGTTCCTAAAAGCTTTGCATTGTACAGTTCCATTTTAATAAAAACATTAAAAGAATGTTAAGTAAATGCAATTAATAAACAAATTGAAACTTAAATTGTAACTAAAGTCAAGCCCAACTAAAACTAAGTTATTGTTTTCAATTCAGTAAATATATTACTTGATGCATTGATGAGCAAATCAGGATATACGTAATTCATTTTCTTGAAATAGCAAAGTGAACTTAGAATGATATAAAATGAATATTCCACACATTTCAATTCTCTGCAGTCTTTTCTTTTTCCTCCATGGTTCCGTACTCCTCCAAAATTACCTTCTATGAGTTTCCGCAGTGTAACTATGAAGATAGTTCATTTTTTCTTTTGCCATTTTCTCTTAACATCTCAAAATTAAAATGTACACATTTCGTCTTAACCTTTCTTGTTGTTCTTGCAGTGATCTTATGAGATAGGTAGAGGGTTGAGGTGGGGCTCCGTAGCACTTCATGTTCAAAGAGAAAAGATGCTTTGGAATGTGATTTAAGGACCTGTTTTGTTGACAGTCTGTCAACCTGAAGCTGACCAGATGGAAGCCATATTGGAGCTTCAGTGTTGCCATATTGGAGATGAGGGAAAGGAGGGGGGATTAGAGATAGCTGTGGCCAAAACAAAATATTTTCTCTTGGGAACCAAGGACATTCTCACACCTGGTCAGAGGAATGAGGATGTGATGTCACCAAGCAACCAAATGGCACCTTGATTGGACCATGTGACTGATTGTTTGAGGTAGATGAAAAACATATACTTTTAATTAGGTAAAGACCGCTGGAACCTTTGGAGTCAGTTTTCACCAGAATTGTGCCAATATGATATGCCCAAATGAAACTATTCCCTGAGGGATCTACCTGCCTTGGAGTTTTGTTCACTATGGGTATATTACTTGGAACCCTGACACAGTCACTTGTTGGTGCTGTTGAATTGATGGCAAAGTGTCATCAACTAAGTACTCAAATCAATACAGCAAAATAACATTTTCAAATTGACTATGTAGAAAAGCTGCCCTTGCTTTGCTCATTTATGTCTCCAACATGCCCTTCAGCTGATGAGCAAATCCCTCCAAACTTATCTCGAATTGCAAATAAAATGAAAACTGGTGCCTAACCTGGCTTCAGAGAATAGATGCCTCCTACCTGTCCCCATGGACCTTTTACTGCTTTGGTATCACTGCTATTGTCCAGATTGTTTCTACTGCAAAATTGGTAAAAGCAGTGTGTTTGCTTCACTCCATGCAGAGGTTTCAATCTCAGACTGGCTTTTCCCCTTCATCCACCATTATTCAATAATCTTTTGAGTGCTCTGTATTTGATTCCAAAAGGGCTCTTTGGACAGCTGCATGTTTCTCCTAGTATTGTACTCCCACTACGCACCTGGCCATGACTTTTGGGATCAAGGTTATGTTTGATTTTTCCAGGTATATCGAAGTACCTTTTGGGGACTGACTCTTAAGTATTTTACCACCTGCCTTAGAAACATATAAATATGGATAAGTATTTAGTTGTTGCTAATGCTGATGTTTAACATGTCCCCATTACCCTGCAATCTGGTGGAGAACAGGTATGATACCCCAACTTCCAGGTCAAAAGTCTATGACAGGAACAAATAATTCTCTTGTTCCTTCTCTTGTGAATATAAATGTCCTTCTAGAGAAGGAAGAAATACATTTTCTTCTTTTCTCTTGAATGTTTTATTGCATAGTTGGTCTTCTTTGAGTAGGGATTATAAATATCTATTACATATAAGTCTTCCTATTACATAGATTTTAAAAATGGTCATGTTATTTATTTAGACCAGGGGCCCCCAAACTTGACCACTTTAGGACTTCAACTCCCAGAATTCTCCAGCCAGCATAGCTAAACTAAATCAATTTGGGGACTAAATCAATTTGGGGGGGGGGAGTTGTATTTTTCCCATTTTCCCCCAATGTTTTCAAATTATTAGTCAAATTCCTAAATTTAATTTTGGTAAATACTGAATATTATAAATATTTCTTTAAAAAAAAAAAGGAGTCGCAAGGAATTTAATTTGGCCAGCTTGTTCCTAATGGAGCAGAGAGCTTGTTTCAACATGCTATGCTGAGATCAAACCTAAATATTAGAAATATCCCCAGTCTAGTTTCTCTTTCTGCTATTCAAGTAAGCCACAAAATATGCAGCTTGAAGGATCATGTAGTGTAGCTAAATGCTCTTAGTCATGGAGAAGAGAATTAATGGACTTGAACTTGTATGTTTTTTCTCCTCGGGTGGCTAAAGACATTAAATAATTTATAAAACACCCACATGATTTATGTTGCCTCTTTGTCTTCTGACAACATGTATACATTTCAACCTTAAAAAGCTGAGCCTGTAGCCAAAAACATAGTCTGTTAGAAATGCTGGGAAACCCCAGGTGCCTAAAAAAAATTCATGATGCTCAGTGGTGTCTGGGGATGAATGTCCCCCAAAAGAAAGAAAGAAAGAAAGAAGAAAGAAAGAAAGGAAGGAAGGAAGGAAAAGGAAAAGGAAAAGGAAAAGGAAAAAAAGGAAAAGGAAAAGGAAAGAGAAAAGAGAAGAAAAAAGAAAAGAAAAGAAAATCAAGTTTGATCATGTATAGGCCAAGTGTCCTAAGAAAAGTACATCTTGTAAAGCTTAAACTTGTTGAGCTTAAAACTATTCCACAAGATCTTACTGTACAGGAAGTCCTCGAGTTATGACCACAATTGAGCCCAAAATTTCTGTTGCTAAGTGAGATAATGGTCAAGTGAATATTGCTCCATTTTACGACTTTCCTTGCCACAGTTGTTAAGTGAATCTCCACCGTTGGTAGGTTAGTCACGTGGTTGTTAAGTAGAATCTGGCTTCCCTGTTGATTTTGCTTTTTGGAAGGTCACAAAAGGGGAATCACATGACCCTGGAACACTGCAGCCGTCATAAATATGAGTCAGTTGCCAAAGTTCTGAATTTTGATCCCGTGACCATGGGGATGCTGCAATGATCGTAAGTGTGAAAAGTGGTCAAAAGTTAAATTTTTCAGGGCTGTTGTAACTTCGAATGGTCACTAAATGAATTGTTGTATGTTGAGGACTACCTATACTATCTTTTTCTCCTCCACGAGGTCCTGTTGTCTATTTTGCATCATCTCCATCCTTTGTAATTCTTATTTTGCTAAAATTTGTCCTCCAAATTTTTTCAGGGAAGGAGAGATCTATTTTTCTATTTATGTTCAACTTGCTTCAGATCTTCCCCCCACTGCTATTTTGAGCTTGCCTATTCTTTGCAGTTTCAATGATGCCTTTGTACAGATTTAATCCTCTCATCCATCCACTCCCATTTGTGACTGTACGACTGTAACTTTGTCGCTTGTATCCTAATGATTTTTATTGACTGTTTGTATGATTTGATTGCTTATTGTACCCTATGACTATTATTAAGAGTTGTACCATCTTGACTCTTCTTGACTCTTGACTCTTCTTCTATGTATACTGAGAGCATTTGCACCAAGACAAATTCCTTGTGTGTCCAATCACACTTGGCCAATAAAGAATTCTATTCTATTCTATTCTATTCTATTCTATTCTATTCTATTCTATTCTATTCTATGTACACTGAGAGCATTTGCACCAGGACAAATTCCTTGTGTGTCCAACCACACTTGGCCAATAAAGAATTTCTATTCCATTCCATTCCATTCCATTCCATTCCACTCCACTCCACTCCACTCCACTCCACTCTATTTAACTTGCATATTTTTACATCGTTATTTCGCCTTCCTGGCCTACCCACTCCTTAAACTGAAAAAGCTGCAGGAGAGGAAGACGATTAAGATTTAATTTAGACTCGAGAAGTCAGGGAATCTATGATGAGTGGAAAGATGGGTATTTGCCCATTGTTCTTGGCTACCTTGTAATAAGATAAGTGCCAGGGTGTTGCATCCCAACCGTGGAAACAGTTTTTCTTCTTAAATAGACACTTTCCCATTAATTGAAGGAGGAGTCCCTTTTGATTTAAGGCAGAAGCAGCACCTAATCTATTTTGGGTCAGTGACACAGTCCAACTTCCCCATCTGCCAGGAATATCATCTGGCTTAATTTTTGCTTGGTTCTGAGGGTTAAAGTGGTTAAGGGCAAAGATGGGAGTGTTTTGCTTTCAAATAGTTTTCTGCTTCCATTTCATCCTTAAAAATTCTCAAACCCTCAACTTGAGCAAAATATACCCCTTTGAAAGTTGGTTAGTTTGCTGCCATGTTTTTGTGTTGCTATCTTGGGATATTTTGGGTGTGGTAGAGGAGATGCCGTGGAGACATCAGGCCACTGCCGTATGTCAACATTAAGAGAAGACTAAAATGCAGTTCAGTTTCACTGTGGGCTTGTGGGTTTGATGCTGCCAAAATGCTAGCTCACTTTTCCAACAATTTACAGCAATTACAGTTAGGATTCTGCTAATATCTTGCATTTATGTGTCTGTTGTAGAAGAAATGGAAATGTGCAAAATTGATGTTCACTTGGAATTACTAAGTGATACGAGCCAAATATGCAAAGAGGTCTAATTAAATCTGACTAAAAGTCTCTTGCAATACAGATAAGTGCCTGTTCTGTAGTCCTCTGTATATGTAGCGGGTCAAATTTTTCAACTTTCAAACATTTAAGGTAAAGGTAAAGGTTCCACTCGCACATACATGCTAGTCATTTGTGCCTCTAGGGGGCAGTGCTCATCTCTGTTACAAAGCCAAAAAGCCATCACTGTCCGAAGACGTCTCCGTGGTCATGTGGCCGGCATGACTAAATGCTGAAGCGTGTATGGAACACTGTTACCTTCCCATCAAAGTAGTACCTATTTTTCTACTTGCATTTTTTACTTGCTTTCGAACTGCTAAGTTGGCAGAAGTTGGGATAAGTAATGAGATCTCACTCCATTACATGGCGCTAGGTTTAGGGGTGCTCAAAAGTTGTGATATGCCTTGGGATTGTAAAGATATTTGGGTTACTTTACTATAATTTAGATGTGCTTGGTAAATAACTACATACATATAATTTGACTTACAAGAAGGTGGTTCATACCATTTCAGTGAAAAAAAATCCATTATCATGAAAATGGAGGGAGAATAGCAATTATAAGGCACAACATCAAATGATTGTGCCAAATTTACAACTACAGTTCTGATAGTTCTTGCTGTTAGGTGAATCCTGCATGGTTGCAGCCTCCCTCGGTCACATAATCACTATTTGCAACCTCCTGTTTGCTTCCCATTGACTCTGAATGTGGGAAGTTGGCAGTGATGGTTGCAAATGGTGATCCGCATTGTTGTAATTACAAGCTAGTCACTGAGCACTCCAATAGTGATCATGTGACCGTGGGGACACCATAAGAGTTGGCACTACATGGACCCATCATAACTATTACCCAGTCAACATCATGTATTACTATTATTATTCTCATCTTTCCTATTAGCTATCTCCCTTTCTACTTATGACTATACCTTTGTTGCTTATATCTTTATGATTTATATTGTTTTATTTAGTTTTCTAGTATGATTTATGTTGACTGCTTATTTAGTATCCTATGACTATCACTAAGTGTTGTATCTTATGAATGTATTTTTATGATGACTATGATCATGATTTATCAGTTATAGCACTTTATGTATACTGACAGTTTATACACCAAAGACAAATTCCTTGTGTGTCCAATCTCACTTGGCCAATAAAGAATTCTGTTCTGTTCTGTTCTGTTCTATTCTATTCTGTTCTGTTCTATTCTATTCTATTCTATTCTATTCTATTCTATTCTATTCTATTCTATTCTATTCTATTCTATTCTATTCTATTCTATTCTATTCCATTCCATTCCATTCCATTCCATTCCATTCCATTCCATTCCATTCTGTGGCGCAGTGGTTAGAGTGCAGTATTGCAAGCTACTTCTGCAGCCAGCTGCCTACAATTTGGCAGTTCAAATCCCACAATGTTCAAGGTTGACTCATCCTTCCATCCTTCTGAGGTGGGTAAAATGAGGACCCAAATTGGTGGGGGCCATATGCTGACTCTGTAAACTGCTTAGAGAGGGCTGTAAAGCACTATAAGCACTGTAAAGTGGTATATGTCTAAGTGCTATTGCTATTACTATTGCTATTCCATTCCATTCCACTCTACTCTACCCTACCCTACTCTACTCTACTCTTTGAAGGGTCATTGAACAAGTAGACATCATTGAACAAGTAGACATTACAGACAAAGACTGTCAGTAATCAGGCTTCTCTCCTTCCCTCTCACTTTGCCATTACTAGCTGTTGATATTTTTCACCTGAATTGGGCACAGTCTCACACTGTATCATTTTAATTCTAATTTTTCATGCATTTGCTCTACAAAATAAATATTTGAAGTGATACATTTCTTTTGTGCCGACAGTACGATCCAGTTTTTTCCAAAGTTGTTTCATGCTACAACTAAGGTTAATGAAATCGAGCAATGCAATGTACAACATCTAACACTTTCTATTCTCCATAATGCCCAGATATTCAATTAAACATACCTTATTTGGAAGATAAGCAATAATGATATTAAAATATTTCTTTTTTGTTATTAGAACTTGCCTGCATGAAAGACAGACCTCTTGAAGTGACCTGTTTTCCGTAGTGAATTGCAAAAGAATGTGGATTAACCAAATTCCTTGCTACCTACTGATGGTAGCACATTTATGTATTCTGAACCGGTTTGTCTACAGCCAAAAAGAAGGTTAGTGTGATTCGATGTTTCTTTGCTATTTACCTTCTATCTATTGTGACTTCTCAACAAGTTCTCTATCTCAGTTGAGGAATATATGGCCTCCAAATCTTACTAAAATACAACTCTCAGTATATTTTATCAATGATGGGAATTGTAATCCAACCACATTTGGAGAACCACAAAGGCAATGTTGCAACTACTGTAAATATTTTCATTTACTTTATTTTACTGGCAATGTGCTTGGGCTTGAGAAGAGATGTTTGTTCTAGGTTAATCCTAGTCTATTTTAAGTTTTTATTGCAAACTGTCTTGTGTGTCTTGAACATGTGGAAAAGTAGAGGCACAAGAGCCCACATAGGTTGATAAGTTGCAGAATTGGAAGGCGATGCAAATAGGTTTAAACTTGAAGAGAGATCACGGCAGGTGTCATTTTGCTTCCTGAAGCAGTTTGATGTGACTTAAGGCAGGTAGTCCTTAACTTATGACCACAATTGAGCCCAAAATTTATGTTGCTAAGTGAGACATTTGTTAAGTGAATGTTGCCCAATGCCATTCTGTAACCTTTCTTGCCCCATTTGCTAGGTGAACCATTGCAGTTGTTAAATTAGTAACACGGCTGTTAAATCTGGCTTCCTCCATTGACTTTGCTTGTCAGAAGGTCACAAAAGGGGATCATATGACCCCGGGACACGGCAACTGTCATAAAGATGAGTCTGTTGTCAAGCATCCAAACTTTAATCGCATGACCGCGGGGTTTCTGCAACAGTCATAAGTGTGGAAAATGGTCATAAGTTACTTTTTTCAGTGCCGTAACTTTGAATGGTCACTAAATAACTGTTGTAAGTAACTGTACATGCATGCCTCTGTTTATGCAGAGGTCTTCAAACTTGACAGCTTTAAGACTTGTGGACTTCAACTCCCAGAATTCCTCCTCCAGTCATGTTAGCTCAGGAATTCTGGGAGCTGAAGTCCACAAGTCTTAAACTTGCCAAGATTGAAGACCCTTGGTTTATGCAAATATATGTTTTATGAAGGTGTTCTGAACACAGGTTTACAGCTGTGCACCGCTAGCATGTGTGGTCCATTCTGCACAAGGGATATTTGAATCCCCTGAGCAAATGCACACCCGGAACACTCTGGCACAACATCATGAATTGATCAGGTCTCTGCTGAAAATTTGACCAGGCTGCATTGTCTGCCTCAAAGTCACTGAGCCATACTCTTAATTGACAGTGATTCATTGTGGTGGCCCAGATTAGATCTCTAGTGATGCGGTCAGGCATAAGTTAGAGGAAACATTTTAATAGCTTCCTTTTAAACTTTTATACTGAGATATAATCCACGGTTTGGGGGAAATCCACACAATGAAATGTTTGGTTAAAGCCAGTATCTGCGTTCCAACATAATTCTGGAACGCCTCAAGCAATTTCAACCAAACATCGTAGACAGATGACTTACCCTCTAGAAGAAAAATAGTCTGAGGGTAAGACACCCCTAACACCCCTTGGTGTGTGTGTGTGTGTGTGTGTGTGTGTGTGTGTTTTCCAGCATAACTCTGGAATGCCTGGGCTACTGAAATGAAAAGGAATGAATTATATCTATAGTGTCAAATCACAGTACTTTTGACTGATAGTGTGCATTGGATTCAAGTTCTGTTAAGATACAGCCTGTTATGCCTTAAAGTGGCTTCTACTGTACAGCACAGTGGGGTTGCCATGGTAATGGTTTTGGAGTACTCCACAAGGGGGCTCCCTCTGGTAAGGGGGATTGGTTCTTAGAAGAAGAAAAAAGCACCCTAGGCCCTCAGCTTCAAACAAAGAGGGCAGGTTTTCTGGTGAGGTGCCTGCTAATGCAGATAATCACCTCAAAGGCTGTTCCAATCCTATCTAACACAGGATTGGGATAAATAACTACATGGGCAACGCCGGGTTATCAGCTAGTAGTAAATAAATTCAGCATCCTGTTATACATAGGTTCTGATATTATATTCATCATGCTTTACTGTGATCTTCTTAACTTAGCAGCTTCTAGGAACTGGAACTCCCAGAATTCCTAGCTAATGGCCATAGTGTTTAAATCAGAAATATCCAGTCTTGGCAACTTTAAGACCTATGAACTTTAACTTTCAGAATCTCCCAGCCAGCCATGCTGAGGAATTGAAGTCCACAAGTCTTAAAGTTGCTAAGATTGGACACCTCTGGCTTAGATTCAAAGTCTAAATACCTGAATCAAGTAGGGGCAGGTCACTGTTAAGAGAATTATTCTATGAGAGCCTTTAACTTGCAAATAGACCTTCTTCTCCTTTCCCACGGTCACAATGAAGCATTTCAGAGCTTTTCCTTCTATTTTGCTTGTAGCACATCTTATGGCATGTATCCAAATCTGTAAAAGCCCATGATAGGTGGCATGAGGAGCCATTTGTGCGGGCATGTGAGCCCCAGCCAAACTTACCTGCACTGAGCATGCACGCACCTCCCAACTGATTTTCAGCCCATTTGAGGCCTTTTTTGCCTCCCTCAGGATTGAGGGAAGCCTCTGCAGCCTTTGGAGGCTGAAAAATGGGCCCGTTTCCAAAGGCTGCAGAAGCTTTCCTTGAGTCTCAGGGAGGCCAAAAAAGGCCTCAAATGGGCTGAAAATCAGCTGGGAGGCATGCGTATGCTCAGTGCAGGTAAGGGGGTGCGGGGTGATGGTGTTGCATGCGTGGGGGGGGGGCAGGGCGCATAGCCTTCTGGGAGCTGGCATGCGAGCAGGGGTGGGATTCAAATTTTTTAACAACTGGTTCCGTGGACGTGGCTTGGGTGGTGGGTGTGGCTTGGTGGTCATGTGACTGGGTGGACATGGCTTGGTCATGTTATTGGCTGTGCGTGGCCAACTCAATATCACTCACATCGAGGCACACATCTCCTCACCTGGCCTCTCATGACTGTGGGGATGCTGCAACAGTCGTAAGTGTGAAAAATGGTCAGAAGTCATTTTTTTCAGTGCCATTGTAACTTTGAATGGTCACTCCACACAAGCAAAGTACCAGCAAAGGAGGGGAAAAAAACTCCAGAGAAGTTCCAGAGACAGGAAGTCTAGTCCTGCCAAGAATGTAATAAGGATTAACGGAGAAGCAGTTTCTGTAAGCAACACCAGAATGTTTCCTTCCTGCCTTCCTTACAAGATTAGGCCAGTAATTTCTTCTAACAACCAGTTCTCCGAACTGCTTAAAATGTTAACAACTAGTTCTAGCGAATAGGTGCAAACTGGTAGAATCCCACCCCTGCACGCGAGCGTACAATTTTCGGCATGTGAGCCCAAAAAGGTTAGTTACCACTGGTATAATCTGTGGCTTTATCTACAGCTGCTGTAGGAATAAACAGTTTTTGAGGGATTGGAAGCACATTTTGAAAATGAGAGAGCAATTGTGAGTACTTTTTTTTAGCATGGTGCATTACCATGCAGTGATCATAGTTCAGTGAAACAAGGCAAATTGCTGAAGGCCGAATACAATCCTTCTCTGTTACTCAAGTGAATAGCCAGACTAAGTGGTGATAAACCTCTTCTTTGTTTCGCTGTTTGCTTTCAGATCTAAAACTCAGAAGTCTTCTGCATCCAGAATGTAATAAATGATTGAGTTTAGAGTAAACGGTGTGCTAGCTAGACTTCGCTGACAAACAGGTAGTCCTCAACTTACAACATTTCATTTAGCAACTGTTCAAAATCACAGTGGCACTAAAAACAGTGATTTGTGATTGTTTTTCCTACTTATGACCATTGCAGCATCCCCACAGTCACATGATCAAAATTCAGGTCCTTGGCAACTGGCATGTATTCATGACAATTGCACTCTCCCAGGCATTCAATGGGGCAAGCAAAATCCATGGGGGAAGCCAGATTCCCTTAATGCCCGCATGATTCACTTAGCAACTGCAGTGTTTTAGAATAGAATTAACAGAGTTGGAAGGGACCTTGTAGGTCATCTAGTCCAGCTTCCTGTGTAAGCAGGAGACTCTACTACACCATTTCTGACAGATGGCAATCCAGTCTCTTTTTTGAAATTTTCCAGTGATGAAGCTCCCTCAACTTCTGAAGGCAAAGCACTGGCTGATTGTTCTCACTGTCAGAAAATTTCTCCTTGTTTCTAGGTTGTATCTCCTCTTGATCAGTTTCCATCCATGATTCCTTGTCTGGCCTTCAGGTGCTTTGGAAAATAGGTTGACCCTTCTTCCTCTCTGTGGCAGCCCCTCAAGTATTGGGGCACTGCTATCATGTCTCCCCTGGTCTTCTTTGCTAGACTAGCCATGCCCAGTTCCTGTAACTGTTCTTCCTATGTTTTAGCCTCCAGTCTCCTAATCATCTTGGTTGCCACAGTTATTCTGCTTAACTGCAAGAGCTGAACTGGTTGCAATTCAACATGCTGGTTGTCACCTTTAAAGCCCTTCGTGGCTTGGGACCAGGTTATCTGAGGGACCTTCTCCTGCTGGTCACATCTACCCCTCCCATCAGAGTGAGGAGGCAGGGAGTGTTGCGGGTCCTGTTACTGAGGGAGATACACCTGTGGGACTAAAAAGGCCTTCTCCGTGGTGGCTCCCTCTCTCTGGAACATCATTCCCCCACTCTAACACTCTTCCGGAAGGCACTGAAGACCTGGTTCTGCCAGCGGGCCTGGGGAACCCAGAGCGGGATGGAGCCCATTAAATGGCTCATGTGAGGTGCTGTCACCAGGGCGGGGGATGGGGGTGATTTTATTATATTAGTTTGTTATATGCCTCTTATTAGTTTTATTTTTTTTATATAAGGTTTTATATTCCATAAGTGTTGTGGTTAGCCAGCAGCAGGTGCAGACGGCTGAGGAGAGCAAGGACTCAGATGAGGGGCCAGGGCCATTAGGGAGTGGACTGCTGCCTTCAAAGAGTGTGGGGGCTGGCAGCAGTGATGAGGAGGTTCCTGAGGAGCCTGTGCCAAGTGCGCATGCATGCAGGATTGCTCGCAGGAAAGAGCAGCTGCAACAGCACAGGCGACTCAGGAGTAAGGCTGAAAGGTAATGGCCCCTCCTTCATGAAGATAAAAGCTAGCTGTGAATCAGACGTTCTTTGCAGGAAGCAAAGATGTTTTGAAACTCAGCCTTGTGGACATTACAGTATTTTAAGTTGGTATTTAAAGACTCTTGTGTTGTGAAATATTTCTTATCTGTGATTCTTGGCAGTCTTGCACAGTTTTGGCAAGGTTTGTGCTTATCAAAGTTAATTAGTTTACAGCAGCCTTTTAATGGGGGATTTGTAAGGCTCATTTAAAAGGTTTCTGTTCCCTTTGATTATTGTTCGTCTTATTGGGAAAGGGTTTGGGTCAGAACAATAAGCCGCCTTGAGTTGCCATATGCGAATAGGCAGCAATATAAATACCCTAAATAAATAAATAAATAAAATAACAACTGTAGCAAAAGTCATGACATGGGGCAAAACTCACTTAACAACTGCCTTGCTTAACAGTGGAAATTTTGGGCTCCATTGTGGTTGTCGAGGACTACCAGTACAGTTAATTGAATTCTTGCAAGGAAAAATTCACAGCTCAATGCTTTTCCTGAACTGTGCTTTGAATACCGATTGTTTATCGCTGTAATAAATTGTGTGAGATCGGCTGATTTCTCATTCTTTCTCCCTCTTTGTCTTTTCTAAATAAAACAAATGCAATAGCTTCTCTGGCTCACTCCCTGCTTTGTTTGGCATTTGCATGTTGCCCTGCATTCCAGAGAGTAATGCCTAGCCACAGAATGAATTAGTACTTTGTGTTGGCTGCACACCCCTCAAGCAATAACATTAGGAGGCTCTCTCCATCCATGCTTTGCATAGACCAGAACTCAATTAGTGGATCCTGAGATACACAAGGTAACTTTACTGTGCTTTGCCATCTCATTTAGAACAGGGAAAGGGAAGCACTTCTGGCTGCTAAGCAATCCACATTTGTTACGGGATTTGGAATCTAACAGCACCTGGACTGGAAGGCCAAGTGTTAACTCAACAGCTAGCAAGCCAGTTTTGCTCTTATTGTTCCTTCAGATCAAGGGTGGGCTTCAAAAATTTTAGCAAAGAGCCCTCTGCCTGGTTGCTGGGCATGGCCATGGTGGGTGTGGCCTAGGTGGCCTCCTGCACCATGGTGGGGCAGGGAGCATTTTTGTCCTACCTGGGCTCCGGAGGCTTTCCTCGAGCCTCTGGGGGGGCGAAAATAGCTTCCCCGGGCTCTGAAGGCTCTCTTGAAACTGGAAACAGACCCATTTCCGGCCTTCCTGAACTTCCGGGGGACCCGTTTTTTGCCCTTCCTGAGCCTCCGTGCGCGCCCTGCACTTATCTGCATCCAAAATGAGCCACATGGGGTCTCCTGGGAGGGGCGGGGTGAGATGGGTGGGGCCAGCCAGGAATGAGATTTGGGGGTTCACCGAACTGCACAGAATCTTAGCTAGGGGCTATCCTGAGCCCCTGCGAACCCCCTGCAGCCCACCCCTTCTTGAGATACACAAAACACAATATTTTTCCAGCCTTCTTATGTACTTTCCATAGAAGTCTGAAAATGGCTGATGACCTCTTGGTGCATTAAAGTCAGGAGCGTCACTCAATGAATTGCCAAATTTTGAGCAGTTGATCCATTACATTGATTTTTTTCTCGGACTTAACTCTAAGAATTGTGAAGGAAAAATAATGTTATTTTTGTCTTGTTCTTGGAACTGGAAGAGACATCCACACCCCTCTCCCAAGTGAACTTCCTGCTTGAATACAGCTTTTCTTAGCCTAGTTGATTTTGTTTTTGCATCAGTTTCTTCTTCGTGTTTTAAAAATAAAGTTAAAGGGAAGAGAAGAGAAGAGCATGGAGATTTGCGGGGTGTGGGTGGGTGGGAAGAGTAATCGAGTGTTACATGAGGGCCAATGGTTAGCACATGATGTCCTCCTATATTTTAAAATGAAAGTTTCCTTTGAGCTGAGCTTGAGTTCAGAAGATATTTTGGGAAACATCTATGTAGCTTTCTTGGCAACAATATGGGAATGGTTTGTTATTGCCTATTGCTATCGAGTCCTTTATGCTTTGGTTTTCTTGATCTTCCAACTGTAACATGAGTTACAGGCTGTCAAATTGCAGCAAGTTTTGTATGACTTCCCAATTCAATAAACAGAGTAACATTCAAGAGTCAACCAGAACTAAAAACCCCACTGCCCCAAATGAAAAGAAACACGATACTTTAAAAATCAATAGTGCAACTAATAATTTAGACTCCACTCATGTGGAACCAGACCTGGGGAAACAGCCCCGTCTTAACCGCCTTTCTACTTGCCTTTATTAAAATGAAATGTGCAGGAGTTTCTGACATTCAGAGAGTTCACATAAAGTTGATTATAAAATACTTCCTGTGTTTTAGTTTTATGTAACTGTGTGTGGTTTATGATTCAGTGGCTTGTGGCTTGTGCCGCAGCAACATAATCAGCCAGAGTGTTGGCTTTTTAGTGATAGCATGTTTTGATTCTTCTATTTTTGTTTTTATGGTTTTATTTTATGTTGCTTAGACTATTGTGTCTTCTTTAGATCTAATTTCATAGTAGGCTTTCCATCTGTGAACTTATTGCCTCCTTTCCCCTAAGAGTGCAAGGTTACTTCTTTATTTTATCCCTAGACCAGGGGTGTCAAACTCAGTTTCATTGAGGGCTGCATCAGGGTTGTGTTTGACCTTGAGGGGCCAGGGGCTGTGGCCAGGGCCTTGGCCAGATCAACATCACTCATTTGGGAGTACTTGCAGGCAGGACTGGGGAGATCCTCATGCAGTCCTCTGCCAGCAAAAACAGAGCTTGGGAGGGCCACATGCAGCCCCCTCCCTGGGCCTTTTTCTCTGGCAGAGGCACCATGGACCAGTCCTTTGCTGTTTCCAGGGTGGCCCTACGGGCCAGATCTAAGTACCCCGTGGGCTGATCTGGCCTGTGGGCCTTGAGTTTGAGTTACCCTTAAGTTTGCCGGCCTGAAAATAGACTTGAATTTGAGTCCCCTAATCCAACCATGAAACCACATTGGCTGTCCATAGTGTGGCAATTGATTGCATTCCTGGTTTTAATAATTTATCAATTAATAAGTGGTGTAGCTGTTAAAGTGTTGAACTAGACCTATGTTGAAGTGTTGGACCAGGAGTCAGTCCAGATTCTAGGTGTATCTTAAGGTTCTCTGGGTACTATTGACCAAATTGGTAAAGGTACCTCAACCTATGTGTCTATTTCAAAAACTATATGATTCCACCTTGATCTGCTAGGGAAAAGAGAGAATATACATGCAGTAAATAAAGAAAATGATTTTATCAGCAGAAGTCAGTAGGATAATACGGAACTGTTAGCATGGTAGCAACTACCTATATTGCTGAATTTATGAAGGAATCCTGTTTGGTTCACAATGCAACCACCCTAAGGGAAATGTGGATTGAATTCAATGAAAAACTCTTGACCATTCAGTTATATACTTCACTTCAGTAGAGTGTTTTTTAAGGAAACTTAAAATAAAAGCCTTTTCTCATTATTGAAGGTTTTTCCCCCTTATTAGTATTTTTCCTGCAAGTTCAGGGATTGCTTATTTTTTCAGGTAAACCATGTGTTCATATATTGGGAATTAGGAATTGACCTAATTGTCAATTCATGACCAATTATTATGGCTTGAGAGAGAATGACTGGCCTAACATCAACTTTGATGCCAAGGCAGACTAGAATTTACAGTCTCTTGGTTTCTAGCCTGGTGCTTTAGCCACTAGATCAAACTGACTGTCTATCAATGTTGAAGTAGCTCATTCTGTTTTAAAAATTGAAGGTTAATTTTCTAAAAAGCTGATTTATTTACAGTCTGAAAATGAATCTATTTTTTTAATCATCATGATTCCAGACACAGAAATAATATATAAACAGTTTTATATTAGCTTGCTTATTATGGCTTCCTTCAAACTGACTTGGGAAAATAACTGTTGAGGGCAGTATTTTGCATTAAAGATCACTTAATCCTTATCAAAGAATTACATCTTTGAAAGTTAAATAGAAGATAATATCTGTAGCTCAGGATTGATTGAAAGACTTCACATCATTCAAAGTTCTCTGGGAAAAGGAATTATTATTAATCTATTTTAAAATATGTTTGAAATGTGAGATAGTTTGTATAGTTGCACCATTGTATAGCTCCAAATATATTCACTGGGCATTTATTTGATTGATTGATTTTTATCCTCCCTTTCTTATGTTTATAAATAACTCAAGGTGGCAAACATACATAATGCTCTTTCTTCTTCCTATTTTCCTCACAATGACAAACTTGTGAGGTGGGTTGGGCTGAGAAGAGTGACTGGCCCACGATCACCCATTATTGGTATCTTTTCAGTTTTCATAGTTTTCAGAGCATAGATTCTTGTAGTAGATGTTCATGAACATTTTTATTATGGTTCCAGGTTCTTCATATTCGGCTCAGAACTTGACATGTATAACACACAATCTTGGTAACGTTACCTGCACTTGGACTATGGATGCTGAAGATGATTCAAAACTTACTTATAAATTCTGTTACAATGTCAGGTAACAATATTGGTAACTTGTGCAAAATCTTTCCCAAAATGGTTTACTGTGCTGTACTAAATTTGTATCTGGAGTTGGTTTAAGAAAGAACTCTTTAGAGATAGAGCACCAATGGAGTCTATAGAACTAAAAGTTTGCTTTGGCCTTGTAAATAAACTTAACTCATTCATGTTTGGCCTCTGCCAGTGGTCACTACATATTTCTCAGGTATGATAGTGAAGTAGAAAGGACCACATTCTTCACATAGTATTATCACTGGTATTTTCATTCACAACAACACTTGCAAATGTTCTTCCTCAGCTGAATCAGAAAACAAAGAGATTTGTTTTAGTTAAATTTTCCTTGCATTTCAAGATCTGAACTATCTTCAAGGACCACACAGCAGTATAGTTCTAATACATATAATTAATCCAGAAGTTACTAATGCATGGTTTATTGAAGGAAGTCTCCAGGAATGAAGGAGAAGATATAAGTAAGGTTCTCATACTCTAGCTTGCTCCAGATGTCTAGACCTCAGATTCTGTAATTCTCTAAAGTTATCTTGGAAGATAGTTGGTCCAACATAACCAGAAATCTTTAATTTTGGGAAGCTGATGTACTAGAAAATGCAATAGGTTAAGTTGGAAATAGAATAGTGTGACTTAGAAATTTAGAACAAATGTCAACTTGAGGAAGTTCTTAATGAGATGGGTCTACAAACAAAAGAGAGCTTTTGGTACATTGCTTGCTTGCCATTTTAAGAATCAAATCAGTTGCGCCTTTGTCTTTTTAAAACTGTATTGTATCAGCCTTCATTCAGGCAAAATAATTCACACTGTAGTGCAGGACTTCCATGTTGTTGAATAAGAATTTCGACAGAAGTGAAAGGAATAATATCAGCTGGCAAATCCTTGGGAATTTCATGGAACATCTCAAGCATAGGGAACTGATTGCCTGTTGTCAAGAAATACAGAGAATTGTTGTTTGTTGTTAAAATAAATAAAATTTAGGGAAAAAAAGAAATATAAAGAAGACACTTGGTAATAATCTGAGATCTGAACAAACTATCATTAAGCAAATATGTCCATACCCTGGCTTCTTTAAAATCATAGCAAGATCTTTGTGTCAACAACAAAGAATGATGATTCATAGGTAAAAGGTGTTCTGCCTTTTCCAAGAATCCCGTGATAGACATCAGCAGACTGAAGCATTTGATATTCTTCCAAGAGACCATGATCAGTCTGAATACTCCTGTCAAAGGGCACCTGATATAACACATAAAACATTTTGTTCTGTGAAAGGTTTCTCAATATATAACAGGAAGTTGCCATGCAGCAAACATTGTTATATTCTTTAATAAAAATACTTGGTGGCTGGAAAATCCATTGTACATCTTTGGACAGACACAGTAGAGAAGAAATGTTATTACACTGAGAGAATATGCACCAAGACAAAATCACACTTGGTCAATAAAGACTTCATTCATTCATTCATTTGTCAAAATTTGCCCAAAGTTCTTTTTTTTTTCTTGCTAATATCCCAAATATTTGATTGCCTATTACTTGGTATTAAATCACTGTTAGGCCTTCAAAAAGATTTTCTTAGGTCTTGCTGCTAAGCAGTTTTCAGCAAGAGAAAACTTGCTTCTAATTTGGCCAATTTGATGGTTAAGACAACATGTTATCTTTCCCAAAGAGCATGAATCATAAATCACTTTTTCTGTTTTTCTTTCAATTGTGGTTTTTTTTCTTATGCAAATTATTAGAATTTTAATCAAGATGGGGCTTGTCACATTTTTTTTCTAAGAAGGAAGAAAAAAATGAAGTCACTCATTCACTCTATTTTTTAAAAAGATAATTTTTGTAAAGCATTATGAAGCAATATATAAGTCTAACTGCTATTGCTATTGCTACTTTGTTATTGATGTTTCGCTTCTCATCCAAGAAGCTTCTTCAGAGCTGAAGAAGCTTCTTGGATGAGAAGTGAAATGTCTTCAAAGAAAAACTAGAAAGTCCAGTTGCCTCTTGGAAAAACACCTTTGGGTCCCCAAAGAGATAGCAACAGCAACAACACTGAGACTTGCTTACCACTTCAGCAGTGCTTTACAGCCCTCTCTAAGCGGTTTACCGAGTTAGCATATTGCCCCCAACAATGTAGGTCCTCATTTTACCAACCTGGGAAGAATGGAAAGCCGATTCAACCTTGAACCGGTGAGATTGACAATGCCAAACGGCTGGCAATCGGCAGTCAACTGCATTCTAACCATGGCACCACCAAGGAATAGTTTAACTTTTTAATTGAACTTAAAAAAAAATTGTTGAGTATTATAGAAATGCATCCAGATATTTATATGGTAGGGTTGAAGTTGCAGTTTGGTTCAGGTTTTTATTCCCCCCACCCACCCATTTCAGTCCATTTCTACTCCAGGTTCCTGTTACACATTATTAAACATGCCATGCATCTGGAGTAATTTAATAGCCAATAAGGGTTTTGCATGTAAAATAAGGGGAGTTGTTTTGTATAACTTTGGTCTTCTTGTTATACATGTGTTTGAGGAGCACCAAAACAGAAAAAAATGTCCTGCTTTCTCTGGAGATCTTCAGAGCTTTTTAGCCTAGGGTATGAATTTACACTGGTAAATTCCATTTATTATTTAATTTGACATTAGACCGAGGTTTCAGTCTTCAATCAAGATATTGTGAATTCCTCTGACCCTTGTCATTTAAAATGATTTCCAATGGCTAAACTGAACTGTCTCTTTCTCTTTCTGCAGTTCTTCCAAACCACAATGTTCATTAACCAAGGAAAAAAAGGCAACATTTGCATTAATTATCTTTGACCCCGTGCAGATTGAGATAGCCACCTTCAATTCAGCTGAGGAAGGGGGAAATCCTCTAGCTAAAAACACATTTGTGCTTCCTGAAGAAGACATTTGTAAGTATACCGTTTCTATATTCAGGAATAGAATGTTTGGAAATTAGTGGCTGAATTTGGAGTAAGGCTAAGAATCAAGTCCAGCTGGGTGGCAGGCTTACATTGAACTCCTTGTGCAGTCTAAAATAAAGCACTACCTTTCATTCTCCATGCATTTCCTTTTCTAGATCAAAGTACGTTTTATGCAATCCATAATGTGCAGCTTGTCCTGAAATTGATAATAAACACAGAGAAAATGTACTTGTTCAATTTGAGATTATTGTGTTTTAAACTTCTATTGGAGGGGTGTCAAACTCGATTTCACTGAGAGCCGCATCAGGATTCTGTTTGACCTTGGGGGGGCTGGGATGGGCATGGCCAGCTCGACATCACTCATGTCGGGGGCGCCTGTGGTAGCCCGAGTATTCTGCCAGTGAAAACAGGCTCCCAAGCTCTGTTTTAGCTGGCAGAGGTGAAGGACCATGGGCTGGTTTTTCACTGTTTACGGGGTGGCCCTGCAGGCCACATCTAAGCACTCCGTGGGCTGGATCTAGCTCCTGGGCCTTGAGCTTGACTCCCCTGGGCCTTGAGTTTGATGCTCCAGTGGTGGGATTCAAACATTTTTACTACCGGTTCTGTGGGCATGACTTGGTGGGCGTGGCGTGGCTTGGTAGATATGGCTTGGTTGGCATGGTAGGGGAAGGATACTGTAAAATCCCCATTCCCTCCCCTCCCCCCAACCTGCTTTCCAGCTCTGTTCTCCTGTGCAGGGCAACAAAGGAAGACCCAGCCGATCAGTTGGGACTCAGGAGGCAGAGAATAGATGGGGGCAGGGCCAGTCAGAGGCAGTATTTGCCGGTTCTCCGAACTACTCAAAATTTCCACTACTGGTTCTCCAGAATTGGTCACAACCTGCTGAATACCTCCTCTCCCCTGCTGTATTGCAACAATTCATCTATTTTTTTTTCTTTTCTTTCTGCTCCACATTAATAAAAGGGAGGGGGGGAAGCATTTCCAGTGAAGTTAATTGCTTTTAAAAAAAAACTTTTAAGTGAAATAATAAAGAGAATCTAAAATAGTTGGAAAGAGAAAATAATTACTTTCTAATCCAAAGGTCTGGATTCTGTTTGAGATTTACCAGGTGTAACGTGTTATGACTCCTTTATGCTATTTCCAGAGGTTCAGGACACTAGATGAGACTTCTCTTTTGTCCAATAATAAAATATCTATTTCTCATCAGCTGGTTCTTTCTGTGTGTTCTGTTATATACAACTAAGGTGATGCATGAGAGAAATTATTTCATATAATTTCAACATATTAACATAACACGTTATATGATTTCTGTGTGTACATGTACACTGATATTTCTCAGAATACATATATCCAGTGTTCCAGCTTCGATTTTTAGTATAAATTCTGCTTGTTTTTCCTGTTTATAAAATGGAAAGGGAGTTTTCTCCATTTTGAGAATGCAGTGGTAGAGGGTAGATTAGAGTTGATGTTCTATTTTGGAATTCAGCCAGACAGTAATTTCCCACAGTATTTCATAATAATTGGGCTGTTTATGACTTGGGAAACCTTCCAATTTAATGAGAAATTCCCCTGCAGTTTAAAATAGTAAGATTTGATGTACAGTTTTTGCATGATGGCCTGACTCCTGAATTAAAGTATTCGTTGTGAAGCCCTGACTACAGTTATGACGTTTGAGTGCAATCTAATTAAAGTTAAAAATAAAAGTACATATAAGATTGTGGCTAAATATTATTATCTTGTTTTCTTTTTAGCCTGTGGTTAAAGAATACACTGGTAAATTCAATTTCCAGTATTTACATTAATTTCCAGCCCCCACTAAGCAGTTTACAGAGTCAGCATATTACCCCCAACAATCTGGGCCCTCAATTTACCAATCCTTGGAAGGATGGAAGGCTGAGTCAAACTTGAGCCAGTGAGACTCGAACTGCAGTCAGTTGGCAGTCAGCAGAAGCAGCCTGTAGTACTGCATTCTAACCACTGCTCCACCATGGCTCCTAACAATATTATCAGTTGTACTTTTCATGTTATAAATTCACCTTTTATGAAATCAGTACTGTAAAAGAAAGTTTGGTAGAATAGTTATTTTCATTGGATTTTTAAAAAATCTTTGCTGTAGGAGAAAAAGCAGATTAGTGCCAACATCATAAGGGAAGATACTATCTGTTCAGAACATTTATTGACATTCAGTAATTCTGAGTCTTGTTAATCTTCTTTCTTCCACCCAGTACTTGTTCCTCTGACGCCTCGTATTCATAAACTGACTTCAGATTATATAGCTGACACATCGATTCTGGAATGGTATGATGGCGGATCAGTCTTTCAATACCAAATTGATTCTAGTTGGCAAATTCAGATTCTGCGTAAAGATCCAATGGAGGAAATAGCACTGGTAAGTTGTCTCTCTTGACACCTCTCTATTTGTTTTTGTTTTTATATATACATACTTACATACATATATACATACATACATACATACATACATACATACACACACATTCCATTTTCCATTAAAGTGTCTTGTCTGGTTACAAATATCTCTGTGCAATAACCACCAAAATTTACAACAATATACATTACTTTGATGTTGACTTTCTAATTTTACAATTGTAATATTGTATATAATAAAACTTCCCATTCCGCCCTCTTAACACATCTTCTGGTCTAAATATAGTGATAATATTAAACATGATAAGCTTCATAGTCATATCAATTATAATCATCATATTGTTTACATCTCTATCTTAACATATTTTCAACATTTCTCTATTTGTGTGTGTGTGTGTGTGTGTGTGTGTGTATAGAATAGAATAGAATACTTTATTGGCCAAGTGTGATTGGACACACAAGAAATTTGTCTTGGTAAAAATACTCAGTATACATAAAGAAAAGATACATTCGTTAAGAATCAAGAATCATAACATACAATGTGTGTGTTTGTGTAACCTGATGGTCTCTAGCAATAGAGAATAATTGATCCCATTCTCAACTGACAGTTGTAATCAAAGACACTGATCTTGAGCAAGACAATCATTACAATCATCAATAAATTTAATCATTAAAGCTGGAGGGCGGAGCTGACTTCGCGATGATACTGCATGCAATCTCGGAGGTCTGAGATTACAGCAGATATCTTTGCCTCTGGATGGTCCCAACGGACCTAAACCGTCCCGAAGAGACAGTGAAAGTGAAGGGCGCATCCTGTTGATCCCAGGGACACCGATCTTGAGCAAGACAATCATTACAATCATCAATAAATTTAATCACTAAAGCTGATGATAAAAAGCAAAGAGGTTAAGAAGAAAATTGCAAGGCAATTTCTGTGATCTACTATAAGACAGCAAACCAGTGAAATGGAATTAGAGCAGCTTTGAAATATTGGAAAATTATAGTGAGACACACAGCACAATGATTGCAGCAGCCTTCTGCAGCCTTGAGCCCTTCAGAGGTTATGCTTTCTGCCATTATCAAGCAGAGATCAGTGGAGGTTCTCAGTTCATCCAGATCATGAGTCTCCCAAAAATGCTTTCCCCCTCCCCCCAAAAAAACAATTGGACTTGTTTTTTTCCTTGAAGACATTTCACTTCTCATCCAAGAAGCTTCTTCAGTTCTCCAGAAGAGGTTAAGGAGGAAATTGCAGAAGGCTGAAAAAGCTTCTTGGATGAGGAATGAAAAAGTCCAGTCCACTTTTTTTTTTGGGGGGGGGGGGGGGGCGACAAAACTTAAAACAACAATGACACATAAACACCCACAAAAAGAAAGAAAGGATTAGGGGGGAAATCGACAAACTAAAAAAAAGAGAGAAGGGAAAGAATATCTTATGTATTATACTTATCAGTAGTCACTGGTTTACTAAGAATTATTATATTCTTCTATAAAATGGTTAGCCCAAAATATTATTGTAAAACATCACAAAATCTCTGCATAATAATATATATTTCTTCATCCTTTGAGTAGCAGAAAATGCTACCTTTCCCAAATCAGATGGATCACACATTTCCAAAAATTGTTTCTAAACATCTGGAATGATATCAGTATTCTAATTAAATATGATTCTATTAATCACCCCTTCCCAATAAAATTGGGATGGGAAAGGATGGGGAAATCTACATGAATACAATGAGCATGAATACATTTTTCTTTTTGTCTAAATTCTGGTCTTGCACTGGTTTGGTAAATATACATTTGGAACAAATCTTGCATTTTCAGGAGACCTATAACACATCAATTGGCAGCAAAAATACTCTCCTTCGTTGGGAATGGACATCAGATTTGCCTTTTAATTGCACCACTCACTACTTTAGGATTCGCTGTTTCCTTAATGAGAAAAATTTTGCTGGAAGGAAGATGTGGAGTGAATGGAGCCCACTTGTAAACATTTCAGGTAAGATGATAGGATTGAGTCCAGCTTTTGGAATTAGAAGAGTCTCTTAACAAATGTGCCACTATTGATGGCTATCAAAGTATTAGATGAATGACTAGCTGATTCATTTTCTTCTTACCATTTAATACCAAGAGTTTCTGTACATGGGTGGCTGTTTTCTAAGTGGATAAAAGACTGAATTTGAACCAGCCATCCAGCAATTTTTGCTATTACTAGAAATAGAAAAGTGTGGGAGAACTATGGAAGTTTTTCTTTGTAATCTTGTACCAAAAGTAAAGGTGCTTCCAAAACAATTTAGATTCTGGTTTAGATTCTATTCTTATTTTTACTAGAAGGCACTAATAACATGGAATATAACTAGGTATACATGGCAATGTTATACTGAGAGTCCTCAACTTATGACTGTAATGGAGTCTGCTCATTACCGTAAGTCAAAATGATTTTAAAGTGGTAAGGGACCCAATTTTACAATCTAGAATAACAGAATAGAAATAGAAATAGAATAATTACTTTATTGTCACTTTAAATGTACAATAATCAACATACATTAAAATGAAATTTCGTTGCATACAGCTCTCAAAGGGTTACCACTTCCAATATACACTACATGAACATGACTAAATAAATATTAATTTTACTAGTTGAAAAGAAGGGGACTAGAAGAAATTACATCAGGCATGATATAGATCAAGGATAGGAACATGGTTTTCCTACTCCTCTCACAGCATAGAAATATTCCATTGAAACTGAATGGAAGAGATTCATGCGGCACTTTGAACATCTTTGAACATTATCCACCCACTGCTGAGTCAATATAAAAATGGCTCCATTACTGCTCACCAATGATTATAAAAAAGATGTTGAGAGTCTAGAAAAAGTACAGAGAAGACCGACCAGGATGATTAGGGAACTGGAGGCTAAAACATACAACAATTTCCTGACAGTTAGAACAATTAACCAGTGGAATAACTTGCCTCCAGAAGTTATAGGTTCCAACACAGGAGGTTTTTAAGAAGAGATTGGCCAATCATTTGTCTAAAATGGTATGGGTTTCCTGCTTGAGCAGGGGGTTGGACTAGAAGACCTCCAAAGCCCCTTCCAATTCTGTTATTGTATTGTTATGTTATGACAAGTAATTTGGATGTTTGGCAGAAAGAACGGGCAGATTTGTGATGGATCAGCAGTACTAATATTGATGGCTGTTTATGGCATCCTCAATTCTTAAATGTCCATTTTATTGGAACAAAACAACAACAAACCATAGACCTTTTGGAAACACTGTTGCTGAACTAGAAAATATGTGACTCTCAACTTATTGCTAAGGTTTTCCAGTGGGCCTAGGAAGGAAGACTAATATAGGTATTCTTTGACCTATGACTGGTCACTTAAGGAGAACTAGAAGTTAAAATGGAGCTCCCCAGAATTATTTACCACCTGTTTTCAGAGTTTCGAATGGCCATACACATACATCCACAGTCATGTGATCATATTTTCGGTGGTTGCCAGTTCCTCTTTTCAGCCATTTGCAACATTCCTCTGGTCATTGCATCATTTCTCTTTTGCCACTTTCTGAAGTTTACTTCTGGTTTCTAGCAAAAAAATACCCATAGGGGAAAATGGATTCACTTAGCGACTGCCATGTTTGTTTAATAATCTCTGTGGTCACTTAATGAAGAGAACAGGGATCATAAAGTTATGATCATAACTAAATCTGATCATATAATACCTCAACCTACGTCCACGACAGCGTATGACCATAATTCCAGCCTCAATTATGGTCATAAGTTGAGAGCTATCTGTAGGGAGGCATGCTAAAGGTTGAAGTAAACTGGAGTGCCGTCAGTTGTCTTCTCTTGTAGCATTGCCATATGTCCATGTGGTTCAGTTTAGGTTGAAAAATGAGCAGTGTTTTTCTATAATGCCTGGAGCCTCCTTTAGGTGTTTACAAGATGTATTAATAGCAGGTGGCACAATCAGCAGCTGTTTCTGTTGCCTTGTTGAATAGCTGAGCCTGGATCCCAGTATGGCACCTTTGGGTTCCCTTGGTGCCTATCAAGTCAATGTTCCATCTGATTTTATTTTGGGTTGTTGTTTTAAATTATTTTAATTTAGAGCAGGGGTGTCAAACTCGATTTCATTGAGGACCGTATCAGGGTTGTGTTTGACCTCGGGCGGGGAGGGCAGAGTGGGCGTGGTCAGGGTGGGCATGGCCAGCTTAATGTCACTCAAGTCAGGGGCATCTGTGCTGGCCTGGGCACTCTGCCAGAGAAAATGAGCTCCCAAATTCCGTTTTCAGATGCAATGGCTCCTGCAAACCTCTGCCAGCAAAATCGGAGCTCCTCTGTTTTTGCTGGCAGAGGCACCATGGGCCATTCCTTCACTGTTTCCAGGGTGACCCCACAGGCCAGCTCTAAGCACCCACGGGCCAGATCCAACCATCTGACCTTGAGTTTGACACCCCTGATTTAGAGGGATGAAGGGAGAGGGAGATGGACAATGAATGGAGAGGGGCCAGACTCAAGTATCTTTTCTGTTTCCAAGAGTTCTAATGGCCCCCTCACTTCCTAGAGACATTCCAAGAAGATAAGAATGATAGAGACTTGTCAGCTTAGAAATAGGCCCATCTGCCAGAAACAATTCAACTGTAAGGTGAAGAAGTAGAGAACATCTTGAGAGGTTAAAGGGAATGATGGATATGATTTCATGTGTTTTGTCTTCTGGCATTTTGTGAGATAGCTGTTCTCAAAATTTGGGTCTGTGGGATGTTGGAATCTTTAGAGCAGGGGTCCCCAAACTTGGCAACTTTAAGACTTGTGAACTTCAGTGTAGCTAGCTAGAGAATTCTGGGAGCTGAAGTTCACAAGTCTTAAAGTGGCTACATTTGGAGACCTCTGCCTTAGAGTAAAAGAGTATAACAGAATAACAGAGTTGGAAGGGACCCTGGATGTCTTCTAATCCAGCCCTCTCCTCAAGTAGGAGATCCTATACAATTTCAAATAAATGGTTGTCCAGTCTCTTCTTAAATACCTCCATGTTGGAGCACCCACAACTTTTGGAGTCAAGTTGTTCCACTGATTAGTTGTTATCACTGACAGGAAATTTTCCTTAGTTCCAGGGTTAAATTTTGTGAGATTAGTTTGTTTTCACATCCAGAATCGGTATCTCTATTTTTCTAAAGTTTGAGGTTTTCTTTTTTTTCAGGACAAGTAATTTTAATTAATACTTTTAGTTTAAGTGTACCTTCTCAAAGGCACCTGTGTTCTGTTGTGCTTCCCGTTCATTGTGATGGAGATTATAGCTCAGTGGCTCTAATTCTCCAGAGCCTGGGCCTGTAAATGGATTGTTGTGTGCAGCTGTTCTGCTGAATAATCAATGTTGCCAATTCTTTCCTTTCTCAATATTGCCTTTCTGTTGCAGGAAGCACTGGCAAAGTCCCCAAAATGTACCCTTTAGATAAAGTGGTGACCGTAGGCTCCAATGTGACTTTCTGCTGTGTATATGAACCTGGGTACATTTTCAACAGTATTAATTATGCTTCGTGCAATACTCTGAAGTGTGAGATTGCCCCTCTCACCAACTGGAGCAAGACAATTTCTGTGCAAAATGTTATTTCTGGCCCTAGTGCTGATATTAATGGCTGGTGTGAAGTACGAAAGGAAGGAGCATCCAAAAACACCATTACTGGAACAGTTTTATTTGTGGGCTGTAAGTGTTAATTTCTTCCTTCTGTTTTATGGTTTGCCTATTCTTGGTAGGTCCATGTATGGGCAAACAATGTGGGTGAAAGACAAAGATTTTTTTAAAAAAGTTGCTGAAAATAATAAAAGGAGAAATGAAATAAATAAAATGAAATAAACTATGTAAAAGGTATTTTCTATGTATGAGTGTTACTGTCAAATGCAGAAACTAAGAATCCAGGCAGTTCAAATTAATATATCAGTTTATTGTATGTTAAGCTCTCTACAAGAATCTGAACTACTAACAGTCAAAGTGAGTTAGAGGTAGATATGAGTCAATGGAATTCAAGATGGGCTGGACTTAGATCTCTTGTGGGCGTAAAAGGATTTGAAATTGATGATGTATTTGACCCCTCCCTCGGGCTCAGCATGGTCTCCTCCCTACACTGCTGGCAGCTGGTTATCAGCAGAAGTGTCCTGCAGTAATACATTCTAACTACTGCGCCACCGCGGCTCATATAAATGGTAGCACGGGTTCTTTGCTCTACAGACTGAACTGAAAATGATGCAAATAATTTCTGTGTAACTGCCACACTTCCTTAGATACTTTGTTTGCCTGCTTATTCAGGCCCTGAATGTCTGATAGAGATATTAATGCATGTTATTTGCTTCTTCCTAAGCTTTAAAGCCTATGTTTGACTGGAATAAATCCAGAGCCATTTTTCTTCCTAACCGTTACTACGTATTTGTTGAGACTTAATTTCAGTTATGAAACTGGTTGGTAATTCTGTAAGTTGTAGTTCAAGCACATCTGAAAAAAAGCAAACTCTGAATCTCTACCCCAGTAGAATGGACAGGGCTGTGGAACAGCCTATTTTGATGGGGTCAGTTCTATTAGAAAGTATAATAATCATTTTTCACATTTTTCACATGAACTGATTGTGCGTGGTAACAATGGATCATGAAAGAATGATTTTTTTATATTAATTGTGTTGAGGTAATTCCCCGTTAGGAGAATGAGCGCATACAGGGAGACGTATTTGAGAGGAGTGTTTGAATAATACACACACAGAACACAGATACACTGTACAGTAAATGTAGGTTTTTACTTCCAGAAACGTTAAGCAAAGTCCAAAATAGGCAGTCCAAAGTCATTCACAGGTAAAATCAGTCGTTTTCATCCAGGGATAATCCAAATATCAAATTCCAGTGTCAAAAACAGTTCACTATCAGACTTACATTAAATCCAGTAATATCAGTCAATTAGAAGAAATGGAGCAACGGCAATACTTTCCAACAGAAGGAAACAGATACACTCATACTCTCTTCTGAGACTCAGACTAAAACAAACCAGGTTTCTGGCTCCATCTTATGGCTGTTTGAGAAACCACATCCAATTGCATGCTCTTGCATTCCCTTAAAGAGACAGTATTAAAATGTCTATCCTGGTTTATATACTTCTAACCCAAATACATGTTAGGTGACTTATATTCCTAACAAATTTCCTTACTGAGTTATTGTTTAAATGGTAGGTTCAACTGATATGTACATATAGATAACACTTCTTCTTTCCTATTTGTTACTATAGATCCTCCAAGTGTCCCCCAAAATTTAAGTTGTGAAACACAGAATTTTAAGGAAATAGCATGCCACTGGGAGGAGGAAAGGTTCACCTTATTATGTGGCTCAAGAAAAACCCATTATGCCTTATTTGAACGGTATGTTTTCATGTACTTTTAAAACACCAGTGTATTTAAATCTGTGCCCTGCAGTTGGGGGGCGGGGCTTCTCTTGTGGAGGGTTTTATATGTGTGTGTGTGTGTGTGTGTGTGTGTGTGTGTGTGTATAGATAGTTTGATACAGTATGCGTGTGTGTTTCTATGAGATGTTTTCTCCATTTTTAATCATAGTTTCTCTTTAATTTTTCAGAAACTCTGGGAAAAATATCTCGTGTGCAACTCCACGTTGTAAATATTATCACTGTAATTTTAAATTACTGGAGGACCAAACAGAATACAACTTCACACTACATGCTTCCAATCATCTTGGCCAAACAGAAGCTTCCCTCTCAATTGATATTAGGCATAGAGGTGAGATTTTTCCTTTGTGCTCTGATGAAGAACTTTTAATCAATCAAAATTTGAAGTTTTATTTATCTGCCATGGAAAATATGTGCTTCATTTAAAGGGGTTCTTCCTCTTCTTCTTCCTCCTCCTCTCCTCCTCCTCCTCCTCCTCTGCCTCTTTCTCCTCCCCTTTTCTGCCTCCTTCCCCTCCCCTTCACCTCCCCTCCTCCTCTATGTGTATGTGTTTGTATGTGATTTAATGGACAAGCTGTTCAATCTAGAAACAGGGAGAGCCAACTTTGAGTCCATCCTCAGCTGTGGAAGCTCATTGGGTGATTGTGAGACACTCATTGCTTCTCATTCCACCTATGTCAATGGTTGTTGTTGGGGAAAAGTAGAAGAAGACATCACTGTGAATTATTCTTGAGCTCCTGAATAAAAGGCAGGATCTAGATCAGATAAGAAATCTAACAAATGTCTTATATATTTTAGTATCATTCCTTTTTCCCTATCACATTCAGATTGCCCCTAGTTTCTCCACTGCAACAGCCCAGGGCTAGTTAAGACTGAGAAAGAATGTGATGGAATGTATGGATGACCTTTGTATGGATGGCCTTGGAGAAAGAGGGTAAGAGAAGCTGATTGGAGACAATCAAGCAAGAGAGGAGAGGAGCTCCCAGTGGCTTAATAATCAGCAGAAGAAACTTTAAAAGGACTTTCCCTAATGGATCAAGCAGTTAAAAGTGGTGGTGGGAAGTTTTCTACTTTCGGATCAGGTTATTGCAGGAACAACTGAAAAATAATAGGGGTGTGTTTGTGTATGTATATGTATGATAAATGCTAGCCAGACTTCATTCTAGACAGAATTTATGGGTCATCATGGATCAGCGAAAAATTCAGATTTATTCCCAGCGAGGATTTTGGTGGAATGTAAAAACAAAATCCTTACTGGTTGTATGCTAATCTCTTAGTTTACCATTTTGTGCTGCCTTGGTTTGCCAGCAAGTAAACACAAGTTAGGATTTCTTTTAATGAAATATATTTTTCCTTTTCCAGTTTACCCGCATACTCCTACAGACTTAAGAGTGAGCAGTGTAACTTCAGCCAGCTTCAGACTGTCATTTTCTTTGCCTGGCAATTTCAGAGAAACCAAACTGCAATGTCAGGTTCAAATTTCCAATGGCACTTCCCAAGAAGAAAGGGTAGGCATCCTATGACATTTATATAATGTATTATTGCCATGTCTACATGGCAAAATTATAAGCATCCTTTGGGGCCTCCTCTTAGACATGCCTTGACTCAGTCTTTATACTTATATTATACATGCAGTTTAGTTTGTGGTCCCTTCCTCTGTCTTCCTCTTGTGAAGAACTATTATTTATTGTTCCTTTGCTTAATTTATATGTTTCCATCTGAAGAAAATTCATGTCCTGTACACAAGCTACTAAGCACTGCAGCATTTTTAAAAGACCTCCTGTAGATCCCACCAGTTTGTAGTAAGAAGGATAGTCCCTCAAAAGCCAGATCCCAAGCATTTAATAGGAGTGAGAACTTCTACACTGGGATGTCAAAAAACTTGATTTCATTGAGGGCTGCATCAGGGTTCTGCTTGACCTTGGGGGGCTGGGGTGGGTATGGCAAGGGTGAACATGGCCAGCTTGATGTCACTCATGTTGGGGGCGCCTGTCAGGAGCTCCTGAGCTCTGTTTTCACCTGCAGTACTGCAGGCTACTTCTGCTGACTTCCAGCTGCCTGTAATTTGGCAGTTCAAATCTCACCAGGGGTTGACGCAGCCTTCCATCCTTCCAAGGTGGGTAAAATGATAACCCAAATTGTTTGGGGCAAAAGGCTGATTCTGTAAACTGCTTACGGAGGGCTATAAAGCCCTGCAAAGCAGTGTATAAATCTAAGTGCTATTGCTATATCTGCTCTGGCAGAAGAAGTAGATTGCAGTGTCCAGAAGAACCTTTTCTACAAAGGCACCAACTTTTGGAGCATCCTGCCCAGGGGTGGGATTCAAATTTTTTAACAACCGGTTCTGTGGGCATGGCTTAGGTGGTAGGTGTGGCTTGGTGGTCATGTGACTGGGTGGACATAGCTTGGTGGTCATGTTATTGGCTGGATGTGGCCAACTCAATATCACTCACATCGAGGCATACATTTCCTCACTTGGCCTCTCATGACTGTGGGGATGCTGCAACAGTCGTAAGTATGAAAAACGGTCATAAGTCACTTTTTTCAGTGCCATTGTAACTTTGAATGGTCACTCCACACAAGCAAAGTACCAGCAAAAGAGGGGGAAAAAACTCCAGTTCCAGAGACAGGAAGTCTAGTCCTGCCAAGAATGGAATAAGGGTTAACGGAGAGGCAGTTTCTGTAAGCAATACCAGAATGTTTCCTTCCTGCCTTCCTTACAGGATTAGGCCAGTAATTTCTTCTAACAACCGGTTCTCCAAACTGCTTAGAATGTTACCAACCGGTTCTACCGAATAGGTGCAAACTGGTAGAATCCCACCCCTGATCCTGCCCTCGAGCAAGATCTGTATCCCCCCTTTCTGGAGTTCCAAAAGGACTTGAAGACCTGGATCTTCCAGCTGGCTGGAGAACCCAATGGGGGAGTGGTGTCTTGAATTTAATGGATTAATTAGATGCCACCTGTTCCCTGGGCACCCTCTGCTCTTTTCCTTTCCATCTTGGTTAATTTGAATTTTAACTGAATTTTAAATGTGTGGTTCTTGTTTATTGTTGTCATGCTTTATATGGTATTTTAATTGTATGACTGTAAGTTGTCTACAGTCGCCTAGAGAAGTAGGTGGCACAGAATTGTAATAATAAAATAAATAAAATCTGGACCATGCAACGATAATTCTAACCATCAGCTCTTTGACCTAAAGATATGTTTCTGTTTTCTTCTTTAAGAATGTGCTGCTGAATGATCCAGGAAATTCACGTTACACAATCTTAGTGGACAAATTGCATCCATTCACAAAATATGATTTCCAAGTTCGCTGTGCCACCCCAAAGCCTTTCTTTTGGAAATGGAGTGATTGGAGCACGAAAAAAACCCATACAACTCAGCAAGCACGTAAGTGTGTTGAATTTTGGATGGCTATGAATGAAAGCTGAAATTAAACATGAGTCCCCATGATTTTCTATGATTATGAGATTCACGTGAAAGCACCGTCAGACATCTCTAAGCACCAAGTGCATCCTAATAACTATAGATCTGACCATTTTTGGCTTTTGCCATAGCACAAAAATGCCCATTTTGCATGATTTTCACATGGGATCAACATGAAAGTACTGTAAAATTGCAGAACATGATTATCTGCCCACAGTCACAACAAGAATCGTGAAACTGAGAAGTGAATCATTAATAATCATATTGTGTCTTATAGGTCATAACCACCAAAATAAATTTTATAAAGCAACAGAAAGTCTTCCAAATCAGAGATTTTCTGTACTGTTGTGTGAACACTGATCTATTATTTGATAGATTCAGACAGATTCTATGTAAAGAAAAAAGTTCACAAACAGAAACAGAAGTAGTGGTTGATCGTTTAAAAAACTGGTTCTCACAAAACTTTATCTTACCTCTTTGTGGGTCAAACTTTAATACATAAATGAAAACATTCAAATGCACAGCTCAAAACTTCACAATTTTTAGACCATCTGATATGTTAATTTGTGCAACTAATACGTTACACCTACTTTGCAATTAATTAATTGAAATGTTAATAGTAAGTAACATTTAGTGTATCCAGGATATCTTTAAGCTAAATGGTAGAAGAAAACTCAATGTCTCTGTAACATTTTTTCAAAGAATGAAAAATTGTACAGGTTGTACAATTCCTGATGAATAAAAGGTGGACAATACTTAAACAAAGTCTAACATCTTAAAGAAAAAGTAACTGTTATATATGCCGATTAACAATTAATACTTCTATTAATGCAATTAACTGTTCTTCTCCTAGAACCAGCAAGAGAGCTTGATATCTGGAGAGAAAAAGATGCTAAGGAAGATACGGTTACCCTCTTTTGGAAGGTATATATTGAGCTGTGTTTTGAATATCATTTTTTAAATTTTATTTATTAGATTTTAAAAAATCCTGCCTTTATCACTTTATTAGTAACGCCTCATATAGCTAATACTCCTTCTTCCTATTTTACCCACAACCACCACCCTGGGAAGTGGATTGAGAACTGAGAGAGAATGATTGGCCCAGTGTCACCCCCAGTGTCACCCAGCTTTCATGGCTAAGGAGGAACTAGAATTCACGGTCTCCTGGTTTTTACCTTGGTGCCTTAACCATTAGACCAAACTGGATCAATATTTAACTGACTGAAGATTGAACTTTCCTTGAACTTTCACATAACCCTTTCAAAGACATATGAGCACCACTGGGAAGATTTCTCCTCTCAACAGTCCCAGGAGGAATGGTTTTGTAAAAACATCTTCAACACGGTCAGATGCAACACTGTCAGAGATATACAAGGATGGTCAACCACGGTTGTGATTTTGGCATGCGTAGAACATCTCTTCAGGAAAGACTTGCTTCAGGCTCCTTTAGTCATCTTGTGTACCCCATGCCAAGACTCCTTTTTCCTGTCCTGCAAAATGTTGTCTTCTGGCCCATTTGTATGTCTTTGTGCAATAAGGACAGTTATATAGAAATAGTTTGTCCAGTGCTTTGTAAATAGAGGATAATGAAGAATATTTATGACAGACTTTTTAAAGGCATTTGTTTATTCTTTCACTTCCTTTCTCCTTTTCCTTGGAATAATTATCTGTTTGTGTTTACAATCTTTTTCTGGATAGCCACTCCCTATTTTTGAGAGCAATGGAGTGATAGAGACTTATGAGGTATGTTGGACCCTTTTGGATAAATCCACAAAGAATAAATCAGTTCCTGCATCCCAGAACTCCACCAAAATATATCTTGCGAACAATGATTACATATTTACCGTGAAGGCAAAGAATAAGGCAGGTGTTTCTCCCCCTTCTTCAATCAATAGTGCTGAGCTTCCAGCGGGTAAGTAAAAGGGGAAATTGACATTATTTATAAGTTGTGGGAGGAATGAGCAGAAAAGGTCCAGTGAAACTTTGTGTTTAAAAACAAAATATTACCTTCTCATGTTTTTATTAAAAAAGCATGCTGATTAAAAAAAGGTGATATTTGCAGTATTTCAGTTTCCATTAAAAGTCCTATAAACAGAAGATTGGTGCAAACATTAGATGTTCTACGCACTCTGAGAGTGTGGGAAAATTTAGATGATCCTTCATTGCTTTTATAAGCTGAATTTGGCACAAGGTTTTTTTGGCAGCATATGGTTCTTCTCTTCTTGAAGCAAGTAAACAAGTTTTCCATTAATTTCACTTCCACTGAGTTTCTAGTGAGCCGGGATATGACAGATAACAGCTTTCAAACAAGTCCCAATGAGGAGCAATGTTTATGAATTATGTTCTTATTGCCTTGTTAATGGGGCCAGATTGAATCTTGCTTGCCCAAATATGGAAGTTTTAGTGTCAGCATCCACTCAGTATGTGTCCACCTTTTTCAGTATCCTATGACTATCACTAAGTGTTGTATCTTATGATTCTTGATGAATGTGTTTTTTTATGTACACTGAGAGCTTATGCCCCTAAGACAAATTCCTTGTGTGTCCAATCATACTTGTCCAATAAAGATTTCTATTGTTCCTGAAATCTTTATTTGCTACTGTACAGTTTACTTATACACTCATGTTTGGTGTATCTATTGAACTGTGAAAGTATGTTTTAGTCATATAATAATTTCCATAATTGTATTTAAAACTTTTCCTAATTTTTGTTACAATTTTTCAATAAGATGTGGGAGTTTAAAAAAACCCTAGAATCCCTTAATTTGTCAATCCGATAACTAGGTAAGAACATAAATTGAAGAAACTAACAACATCTACATGATATTTACACCAAGACCAAGTCAACAGCAGATGCACTCACCTGAAGATTAAAAAAAAAATCAGCCCCATAAGCAAATTGACAATGAATCTTTTTTTCTTCCACTTTTGGGGAAAATTGCTGTGGTGGCTAGGACTAGCCACGATGTTAGTTGTTTTACAGGACAATCTCCCTCAAAGTTCTGGGACTATAGTATTCTGAAACTCTTGATAAAACTCCTCCTTACTTTTCCTGAAGCCCATGGTTGAAAGAAGAGGAAAGAGGACAAGCAATCTTCCTGTGCTACAGTGATATGAGTAAAGGGTATCTGAGATTTTTATGAAGGAAAAGTCAACTACACTGAGATATGATATTCTCACATGTGGACTGTAACTTGCTTCTTTCAATGTTCTTCTCTGTTGTCCTTCAATTCTTATTCCTATAGACCAGGGATGTCAAACTCAAGGTCCATGGGCCAAATACAGCATGCAGGGTGCTTAGATCGGGCCTGTGGGACCCTGGAAACAGTGAAGGACCAGTCCGCAGTGCCTCTGCCAGCGAAAACGGAGCTCATTTTTACTGGCAAAGGGTTGTAGGAGGCTGTTGCAGACAGAAACAGAGCTTGTTTTCATTGGCAGAGTTCTCAGGCTATCACTGGCACCCCTGACATGACTGACATCAAGCTGACCATGCCTACCCTGGCCACGCCCACCCTGGCCTCCCAAGGTCAAACAAAACCATGATTCGGCCCTCAATGAAATAGAGTTTGACACCCCTGCTATAAACCCAGAGTTGGATGGAGTATTCTGAGACTTAAAATCTTAAAATTTGCCAAATTTGAAAAACATTACTATAGATTATGGTGAAATCCTTTATTCTGGAAAAATACAAGTGTGGTGGAGACATTAGCTTGGCAGCTCTCTGGCCACTCTGAATGGACGTGCAATTTTAATTTGCAAATCAAATAAATACAGAATGAAATCCAAGTGTGGTCATTGAACTCCGAGAAGTCATTTTTCTCCTATAGGTCATGACACAATGTCTTTGCAGCAGCATCTTTGGGTAACTTTCAGTTGGCAACTTTTCTACTTCATCTGTGGTGGCTGCCATGATACAAAGTTTTGTTTGTTTGCAATGCCAGATGGAGAAATAAACAAAATATTTTTGCTCTACTTCAGATGTGTTTTATATGCAAACTAAGTCATAGAACACAATCATCTTCATTTTTGACTGTAGGTTACTATTTGATATTGTCTTTGAGAAACACTTCTTGTGATGTTGCTTATCCCGAAAGCAAAATAGTTTTGTGTGTAGTCTCCCTAAATGTCTTTTAGGTTTCTGATTCTCATTTTTCCTTGCATCTCTTTGAGATTCCAAAGGTATATTTCATTAAAAACAAAAGCAAAAATGCATCTGGCAACATTAAAGACCACTGCACATATTATGGTATGTGCTGTTTTTGGACCAGAGTCTCATCCCAACAACAATTGGCTGATGTAATATGTTCATCGTCCTAGCTTTGGCATACCAATACTTGGAATCAATGAGAAAAAATATTAATCTAGATTCTTATTAAGATGGATTAATAATGATTTTGGGGGTTATATTGATATTTATTATCATAATTTTTGCTTGCTTGTTATAGATATATATTTATTTTTGAATTATATTTGTACTTAGTTTTAATTGATTTCATGATTGTTAACTATCCAGAGGAATTTATTTGAGATTGGCATCTATAGAAATTTAAAAATAAATCAAAATGTACCATGAGATAGCTTAGAAGAGTCAAACTTGCAAATTCCAGGATTGTAAATTACAGTGATTTTTTAAAAAGGAAAGAATTGGAAGAAGCAAACACCAATAATTCATGTGCTGTTGTTGAGGAAAAAACAACCTGAACCTAGCTATGTAGTTGTTAGGGGAAATCTTGGTGCAAGAAATTTTCTTTTGTAAAAAAAAGAATGATGGTTCTTATTATTTAGAGTGGTGATTCTCAGATTTTTTTTCCTGTTCTGTATTATAATTTTGAAGCTTAACATACAACATTTTCAAAATTAAGTGTGCTGATACTTAAAGCTTGTGAATCAACAAATTTTAGGGATATACAGTATATGGTAATCTATCTGTATCATCTCCCTTCCTTCATCCTAGATTGACACACATCCTTGCCCAAATCTATCCATTGTTCTATTTACCTGTGTTTCCTATGCCAGGAGAATGAACTTTAAAAGAAAAAGGCTTTCTTCAGAAAATCTTGTAGCCATGGAAATAGCCATGTTTTTGTAGTTTTTGTAGAAAAGTACTGAAAGTAAGAATTATACCTAGTGGACATACTGTATATTCAGCATTCATTAGGTCTTCAGAAATCCAGCCTAGCCCGAATTATTTATTAGAACTTCAAACTACTATTGAGGATTCACTAAAATGGGAAAGAGGAGGAGGAGGAGGAGGAGGGGAGGGGGAGGAGGAAACCAACATAACTTGTATGCCTGAAATGGCCATGTGCTGTCAGCATGCATCTGAGAATGTTTAAAAACTTGCACACATTTTATGATCAAAACTTACCAGCTGAAGCAGTTGATTTATTAGCATTGATTTATATGTACTTCACAAAGAACCAGTCTGGCAAGTCGCTCCCTCAATGGATTTACTTAACGAAGAAGGAAACAACAGACAAAGAGATGGTGAGAGGAGTGGTAGTTAAGGGGAGGAATTTTCTATTTTTCTATTCTAATATTATGGGATCAGGTGAGCTAGAATGACATATACCTGAATATAAACTAATATCCTTGAAGTAGGTTTTGTACTAATCAAAACTCAGGATTTTGCTTCTTTTTAATGATAAACTTTTCTTGAAGAGACTGGTACCATTTCTAGAGTTATAGAATTTCTTTGAAAATTATACTGGGGATTTTTTTTTCTGGGAACCATTAGCTACAATTCCAAGTTCTGTAATCTGTAGCTCTGACTGATATGAGCAGCTTACAGACCTTATGCCTCATCCGATGTTCCTTACAAAGGAACATTTTTGGATGACTGTCTCTGCATTATTCCTAACGTAACTGAGAGGCACCATGAGTCATGGATCCCCATCACTGAGGCTGACTCATCTAAAAAGCAGCAATGAGGAATACGCTGGTTGTTGCTTCAGACTGGACTTTCTACTTTTTTGCAGATATTACTGATGCTTATGGAAGACAATGCTTCATTTGTGTGTATTTGTATGTGTCTTGCTTGAGATACGCTTGTGTGTATTTTTTAATGAGGGAATTTGGAAAGGAATGCCGTCAGCACAGTTGGCAGTACAAAGGCTGGAGGAGCTGAGCAATAGTTAAGGACTTAAAATATCTCTCTCTGCTACAAAAGTCCAGAATAAGATGAAGCATGTATATATGGAAGCACTGTTCATGTAACAAGATGGGGGAGGTTATGTAACCCCTTGCCTAGTTGGCTCATGGCCAAAGGCCCATCTGTTTAATGTATGAAGATCACAACAGAAAAGGGTTCTTCTATCAAATTTTTGATTCTGTTTTGCTTTCAGAAAAGAAGAGATGGGTTTATTCTTTTCTGTGAGTGGCCCTGCCATTTTAGTTATTACTTTGCCATGCTAAGGGGTTCTTGTTAACTTGAGTCCACTGTCAACCGAAGTAATGCCCTAAACTCATTTAGGCAGTAAATGTAAGGTGTACAAGGCAGCAACTCCAAATATGCTAAACCTTCTGAGTGGACCACTAAACAACTTAAAAAATGATCTAGTAAAAAGAAAGTCAACCAAAAGAGCAACATGCAAACAAAAACAAATAAAACATCCCCAGGAAAAGTTTAATTAGTGTGTATTGTTTAATGGACTGCTAAATTGGCCATGACCACCCAGTCACATGACCACTTAGCCACACCCATCCAGCCAGTATGGTCCCCCAACAGTCTGAGGGACCATGAATTGGCCCCCTGTTTATGAAATTTGAGGGCCTCTGATATAGAGAATGTTCTCAAAATCACCGACCCTACCATCAACACAAACTCAAGCTTGCAGTCTAATGGGGTTACCTTGAAGAGACGCCATGATTCCCTGAAGCAAAATTGGATTTCTTCTGAAGTAACTGAAATAAAATCTGGCAATTGTCACAGATTTGTTTCTTGTGAAATTTGAAAATTGTGTTGCTTCCATGGCTTCTGTTTGATTCTCTTTTACCTTCTACCTTCAACATTGCTGTGGATAGCAAAAACACATGCTTTTGCATTTAAACCCCATTGCAGAGGAGCAACAGAATTAACCAAGTTAGAAAGGATAATCTAGTCCAACCCTTGGCCCAAGCAGGAGACCTTACACCATTTTTGACAGATGGCAGTCCAGTCTCTTCTTGAAAGCTTCCAGTGATGAAACTCCCACAGCTCTCAACTATTCTAGATCATGTAAGACATCATCCACTTTGGGATGCCCTGAAGCCAAACTTTCAAAATTCTGTCTCTGATATAACAGGATACAGAAAGTAAGGGGTCCTGCAACATAAAGATGTTTCTGTTAACCACCAAATACCTTTGTTTGGCAGCTTGGTCAATCTCTTGGTGATTGGAAGGGACCTTGTAGGTCATCTACTCCAACCCTCCTCCCAAGTAGAAGAACCTACACCATTCCTGACAAATGGCAGTCCAATATCTTCTTGAAAGCCTCCAGTGATGAAGCTCCCACAACTTCTGAAGGGAGGCTGTTCCATTGGTTGATTGTTCTCACTGTCAGAAAATTTATCCTTATTTCTAGGTTGAATTTCTCCTTGGTCAGTTTCTATCCATTATTCCTTGTCTGGCCTTTAGGTGCTTCAGAAAATAGCTTGAGCCCCCTCTTCTCTGGGACAGCCCCTCAAATATTGGAACATTGCTATCATGTCTCCCCTGGTCCTTCTCTTCACTAGACTAGCCATGCCCAGTTCCTGCAACTGTTCTTATAGTTTAGCCTCCAGTCTCTTGGAGGCTAAACTCCCCATCTCTGTTGATTTCCTCTGCACTCTTTCTAGAATCTCAATATCTTTTTTTATAATGTGATGACCAAAACTGGATGCGGTCTAGGTGTGGTCTTATTAAGGCTTTATAGAATGATATTAGTACCTACATGGTCTTGTTTGAATCTCTCTGCTAATGTAACTTAGGATTGTCCTGTTGTAGCATGCCAGTTCAAGTCCACATTTGCTATTTCATGCTAAGTGGCTTAGCAATCTAGTACAGTGTTTTTCAAACTTGGCAACTTTAACTTCAACTTCCAGAATTCCCCAGCCAGCCTCCTGCTAGAGAATTCTAGGAATTGAAGTCCATGCGTTTAATATTATGAAGATTGAGAATACCGGTCTAAGATATTCCATTACTTAGAGCCAAATTATACAAGGAAAAGAAAAGTATTTTTATAAAGTTTAACAATGTATTTCCATTTTTTAACCTAGAATGTCACTGATTCTTATTATGGTAATGTCTTGATCCAGTTTTCTGTTTTGAGTTGTCATGAACAAAAAAATTATACTGAAGCTAGGGTCATAATAAAAGAACTGAATACAATCACAAAGACTGAATAAAATACAAAGACAATGGCTGTGGCAAAAGAAAGCAAAAAGAGTACCAATAGTAATAAGGTGCCCTAGTGCAATCCCAAAACATTTGGAACATCACTTGAACATCATTGGCATTGACAAAATTGCTACGAGTCAATTTGCAAAAGGCAGCTTTACTTGGGACAGCTTACATTCTGTGACTGAAACCTTTAACCACATCAAACAACAACACCTGCCAAAAGCATCTAAATATCTGGCAGACGGTGTGATGAAACATAATACCAGTATTCACAGCAAACTGTAATATTGCCAGCATGATGAAATATGCATTGTGTTGTCATAATGCAAACAACATCATTATATACATAACATAGCCAAAAAGGCATTAATCTTACATAGCTTTTTCTCTAGTAATATTACATTACTAAGTAGAGCATAGAAAATATTTGCTAGACCAATACTCCAACACAGCTTATCAGTCTGGAACCCACATTACGTATCTGATATTAACACAGTTGAGAAAGTCCAGAAATATTTCACAAGAAGAGTTTTTCCACTCCTCTTCTTCGTTGCAGAATACCTTATGCCACCAGAATCGAAATTCTAGACCTAGAAAACCTAGTACGCCACCTTCAGTCCGATCTAAGTATGGTATATAAAATCATACATTGCAATGTCCTACCTGTCAATAAATATTTCAGCTTCAACCATAACAATACAAGAGCAAACAACAGATACAAACTCAAGGTTAATCGCACCAGACTTGATTACAGGAAATACGACTTCAGCAACAGAGTGGTCAATGCCTGGAATACTCTACTTGACTCTGTGGGTTCTTCCCCAAACCCCAAAAACTTTAACATTAGACTGTCTACTATTGACCTCATCCCTTTCCTAAGAGACCTGTAGGGGGTGTGCATAAGCGCACCAACGTGCCTACCATCCCTGTCCTATTGTTTCTTTTATTTTTCTTATATGTATCCATGTATTCATAACTATGTTTTTACTTATACCTATTATCTTGTAAGCAATTGACAAACCAAATAAAATAAAAAAACATCTTATCCAAGTACTTTAGTCGCCACATCGGTGTCATGACATCATCACGCCCATTTTTGTCCTATGTTCCCTCTACACATACTCACAAGTAATGGTGTGCATGGCTCTTTAAAATCCAAGTTGCATGAATCCTCCTGCGTAAGGAACTTAAGAATTGTGTGATCACTGAAAAGGATCTTGTGTATTTTTTGTGTTCATTGAGATCAAAATGACATTTGAGAATGTAGAGGGAGCAACCCACAGGATATTTTGTATGGGCCATATCTGCGTTAGAGTTATAATGAGCATACTATATAGTTTCTATAGAAACTATAGTGCATAGTTTCAAGGAATAATCTTTGATTTTACTTTTTTAACAGGTGATATTTACGTAGAAAAGGGAATTGGAAAAGACGATAGTATTTCTATTGCTTGGCACCCTGACTCCAATGTGACTTGTGGCTACGTAGTGAGGTGGTGTTATGATCCTGAGCCATGTACAGCTGTTAACTGGGAAAAGTTTTCTTCAAGTGTGACTAATGCTGATATCAAATCGGGTAAGATAGTGGTGAGATTCAATTTGTTTTACTACTGGTTTGGAGGGTGTGGCTTAGTGAACGTGGCTTGGTGGGCATGGCAGGAAAAGGATACTGTAAAATCTCCATTCCCTCCCCACTCCAGAGGGAAGGATACTGCAAAATCCCCATTCTGTCCCCACCCTACTAACCGGCTTTCCAGCTCCGTTCTCCTGTGCAGGGCAACAAAAGAAGACCCAGCTGATCAGCTGGGGCTCAGGAGGCAGAGAATAGATGGGAGCAGGCCAGTCAGAGGTGGTATTTGCCAGTTCTCCAAACTACTCAAAATTTCCACCACCGGTTCTCCAGAACTGGTGAGAACCTGCTGAATACCACCTCTGAGGTAAGAGTGGCGCTTCAGTTTTCCTTCTGAAATTGAGGCTAAGTGGGCAAAGAACAGCAGAAATCTTTTTGCAATTTAAGTGTTATAAGAAGCCAACTGGCAACCAACAAGGCAATGCTCTCTATGCTTAAGGAGCTAGTTTAAAGCACACAGCTCTCTATCCCTTGCACATGCAACTTTGGACCGCTGGCTCTTGCTGCCTGCTGATAGGTCACAATAGCACAGGGGTGTCAAACTCACATCATCACAGGGGCATCATGTGACTTATCAGGAATTCCCCCCCCCCTTCACTAAACCAGGCATGGGTGTGGCCAGTGCATGACGCATTCAGCCTGTGGGCCGGGAGTTTGACAGCCCTGCAATAGCACATGTTAAGTAATGACATGTAGACATGCAAGCCCTTCTCAGGACTAACCAGAAAAAAAGTCATGTAACAATAACAAATAATAAAATTAAAAGAGGAAAGATTCCAAGGAAGCCGCCAGATTTATTTTGAGGAAGATTATTATTACAGTTTATTTATGCTCAACATCTTATTTTGAAAGATCCCAATAGTTAGGTAAGTTGTCATTTTCTCAATGTCTATTGTAAAAAAAAAAAACATTTCTCTAATTCAAAAGGTTGTTTTCTACCTGCTTGATATGAAAATATACCTTTAAAAAAGTTATAGCACCATAATGAAAATTTATGAATGATGTTTTTGTGTTGCAGATGTCTTCCAGCCTGGAGTTCGATATACATTTTCTGTCTTTGGCTGCAAAGAAAATGGATATCAGATACTGGGATATATCAAGGGCTACATACAAGAATTGAGTAAGCATATGTTATTATTTTTTTTATTAAAAGTTGTTGGCAGAAAAGTGTTCATTAATGGAACTGGAGATTATTGAACAAAAGCCAGGATACGAAATAAGAGCCAGCTGATATTAGCTTTCCACTTGCATTTAAGTATGTTTATGCAGCTGGTTGGCTCAGATCTTTTATTTTCAAATGATAGGATACAATTAGAAGAATTATAGCTCTCTCTTGAAAATAAATGGAAAAAGAAGATAGTGTATAAACAGGATCCAGCCATTTGAGAAAACACTGCAGTGATCTAAATCATTAAATCCAGTCCTTAATGCTAAATATTACTTAAATGTCTATAGGTCAAGCTAGGAATAAAGACAGCTCCAGAAAGGAAACGTGTCTCAAAGCACAACTCTTGGACTTTTTATCCCATGTTGAAAATTATCCAAAGAATACTTGAGTGAAGAGCTGCTCTAGACTCCTACTTTTCTTGCAAAACCGAATTCTGCTAAACTTAAGTCATAATCCTTCTTTTAAGATGGGTGGAGCTCATTAGAATTCAGGAAGTTGAGATAATATACAGTGAAATGCCCTCAATAATTGTATTATTTCTTAGAAAATGAATATAACAAGATGGGTATCCCAAAGATACTTTTTCAAAAGGCAACTGGACTTTTTTTGTTTCGGCTTGAAAATGTTTTGCTTCTCATCCAAAAAGCTTCTTCTGAAGAAGTTCAGAACTGAAAAATCTTCTTGGATGAGAAGCAAAATGTCTTCAAGCAAAAACAAAGAAAGTCCTGTTGCCTTTTGAAAAAGCACCTTTGGGACAACCATGACCTGCATGACGTGAGAATCTCCATAGACAACAAAACGGGTGATTTGGTTTCAGGATTTAACCACTTCTAAATGTTCCTCACCTTGCACTCAAAAGCTAACTAGCTACCTAGAATTGCCTTCTGTTTGCAAAAGGCATGTTTTACTTCACTATAGCCCAATGATTCTCAGTCTTGGTAACTTTAAGATGGGTGGACTTCAACTCCCAGAATTCCCCAGCCAGTATGGTGAATAGAAGACCATCCATCTTAAAATTGCTAAGGTTGTGAAATAGATGCTCCAATGAGGAGAGGAGGATATTTTGAGTGGGGGGGGGGGTGCCTGTCCTCTCCTCATTCAAGAAATATTTGGTTGTTTCCTATCCAGGTCCCAAAACGGCACCTGATTTTAGTGTGCAACATACCACCTCTGATTCCATCGTAATAAAATGGAAGAATATATCCGTTGAAGACAGCCGAGGCTTTTTACAAGGTTATTTGCTTAGATGTGCCAAAGGAGAGAAAGACGGCCCAACGCCAAAATATTTTAAACCAGGTAAAGAAATATCAATTGGATTATTTTCATTTTTGTTAAATGTGACCTTTTGTTTTAGGATTACTGCCAACATTGCAACCTAACCACAGGGATACTGTGGAAATGGTGAATTGAAACACATTTCTAAACACTCCTGCTCCACAGTAATTTTTATATGTGTGGCTTATTGAAAGGAGCAGTACTATCTGATTTTTAATCTTCATGGCCCTACCAGGTCCCATGCAGAACCTGGACAAAAATGCTTGTTATATATGATAGTTGTACTGATAACAATCTTATTATGACTGTAAATATAAAATGAAGAACACATACAAGAATTTTGGAGGATGCAAACAGTGGTTGTAAATATTGTACTGTACTAATTCTCTGTATTCAGTATACAGTAATATTCTGTTATAAATACTGCATTGCACGATAATACAGTAACTCTCTGAAATGGTATAGGCTCTCCTGTTTGAGCAGGGGATTGGACCTCCAAGTTCTCTTCCAGCTCTATTCTGATTGAAAATGTTTATATGCAGCACTGGTTAAGATATGTGGGCACTATACCCCTGTCATATTTTAATCTATGATAAATAATGGTTTAGTCAACTTAGCTTTCATGCATTTGTATGGGGGGAAAAAAACCTCTCAAAAAGGTTGGAAAAAAAATTGGTTGCATAGCTAAAGAAACCTAACTCTAATATTTTGAGATGTCTCCTGCCCTCTTGCTGTCTGAATGGGAATTGATATGTCTTGTCTCTTCATCCTTCTTGCAAAGCTTGGTTAAGGTTTATGACAAGTGTAAGAGGAACCACAGATACCAGATAAACAAACTTCATAGGTTGCTCCTATGAAGCTTTACCAACAAGGCCAGCTTTTAAGAAATGCACCTGCACCAAAGCTATCTCTGAAAATTGCCAGAAAGTACTTTCACTCTTTTAAAGGAAATATTTCCTGCACATTGCAAACTCCTTTTACAATTCAGCTACACCACTGTGATACAAACGGGCTTAAATATCTTAGTTTAAATCTATGTTGGAAAGTAACAAGCAGAGCGTAATATTTATTCTAACAATCAAACATGCAACAACTGTGGAACAACACAAACTTCTCCATATACTGGAGAATCATCCTTCCTTATTGGGACCATAACAGTATTGGTTGCACTCATGGATGATCACGGTCCTTGACCTCTCAGTGGCTTTCAATACCATCAACCATGGTATCTAACCCCAATTTAGGGATTTGGGGGTGGACAGCACAGTTTTGTGCAGTTACCTCCTTCCTCCAAGCCAGTCCCTAAGAGGGAGTGAGAAGTCTAGTGCATGTCCCCCTTCTTTGTGGGGTACCAAAGAACTTGATGCTCTCTCCGCTCCTGGGTGAGATCATCGTTTTCTTTATATATCACCAATAAGCCGATGATACCCAGCTATATAGCTCTGTCCCGGATGAAATGAGTGATGAAATGAGGATGTCCTTTCATGGTGCCTGGAGGCTTTGGGGGTCTGGATGGGAAACAACAGACTTCAGCTGAACCCTGGTAAGATGGAGTGGCTGTGAGTTCCTCTGTATCCAGGCATTTACCATCTTTGGTCTTATTGGAGTTGCACTACCCCAGACACTCATGGATGATCACTATCCTTGACCTCTCAATGGCTTTTAATACCATCAACCATGGACCCCATAACTTTTGGGTCCTCTTGGACACGACTCCTATTCGAAAAGGAGGTGGAAGACATGGCCAGAAGGGCCTTTCCCCAACTCCTCATTGTGCACCAGTTATGCTCCTTCATTGATAGGGAGGCTGTCCGTTCAGCCACTCATGCCCTGGTTATGTCCCAAGTGGACTATTGCAACATGCTCTACATTGAGCTACCATTGAAAAGTATTTGGAAGCTTCATCTGGTACAGAATGTGGCCACGTGAGCCATACTTGGATGCCCAAAGATGGGCACATATAACACCTTTTTCTCCATGAACTACATTGGGTTCCAGTTTGCTTGTGGGACCAATTCAAAATTTTAGATATCACCTATACAGCCCTACATGGTATAGGGCCAAACTACCTAAGGAATTCCCCTTTCGATCAGGCAGGGAAGGGATGCTGTGGATCCCTTCAGTCAAAGAATTTGAACTGGTGAGGTCTAGGAAGAGAGTTTCTTTGCCATTGCCCCCTCATTATGGAACATCTTGCCCACAGAGGTGAGATGGACCTCCGCTCTCCTAGCCTTCCTCAAAGGGGTCAAAACGTGGCTCTGCAGCCTTGCATGGGGGGCATAGAGGACCACGTAACCATAGGACTTGTTGGATGGATGCAGCCCATGGGTATTTAAATCTGGCCTACAGGGCTGGCCTGGAAATATCAAAGGACCGGCCTGTGGTGCCTCCGCTGGCCAAAACAAGCTGTGCAGGGGCCCCCATTTTTGGCCTCCTCAGCCTCCGTGAGGCCTGTTTTTGGCCAGCAGAGCCTGGAGGCTAGGGAGGCTGAAAACAGGCTTCACAGGAGCCTTTTGTGGCCTCCTTGTGGCCCATTTTTGGCCAGAAAAGTGTTGCTGGAGACTGGGGAGGCTGAAAACAGGCCATACGGGAGCCACGCGGCCCATTTCCCATCTCTCCCCCACTTTCTCCCCTCCCCCACCATCCCATGGAGGAAAACTACAATGCTGATCCGGCCCTCGAAGAAATCCAGTTTGACACCCCTGGCTTAGAGGAACCCATTTTCTGTTTCTCTTTTTCCCCCCTTGTTGTCTTCGAAGAGCTTTCTTTACAACCCCATTCTCTGTGCAGTAGAAAGCGGGAAGGCACTCCATGTTTTGTGTCCAAAAGACAAGTCAGGGAGAGCTTTTGGGAAAGAGACAAAGTCTAACATCCTGATCTTCACAGGACATAAGCTGAGTCTGGTGGATTTTATAGAGTCCAGGTGTCCAAGAGGCTTATCCTCAAAATATACAGTAATTAATTTCTTTGAGGAGCAACATATGAAATGAAATGTGAATTCTGCTAAACAAAGCCTTATGTCTTTAAATGTCCCAATTTTATACTGCCAAGTTTTCCAGATCAAGGTACTATATATATTTCACTAGGAAAGCAACGTAGCCTCTCTATTGAAGGCTTGCAATTCTGACATCTTTCTGCCTTTGGTATCATTATTTCCGTGAATGGGGAAATCCTGCTAGAGGCCTGTAAATCACCTTTGATAGCTTTGCCTCTATGCTTTCGGTTGGAGGGACTTTTGCCTCATCCTGCTTCTCATTTCCTTTGTGATTACCCAGTTCATTCCTTCACTTCCCCAATTTCCTCATTGTGGCAATATACTGGTGTGGTGGGAAAGGCGTGCAGAATTGCTGGCATTATTATTTGCAAGGCTTTGGAAGGCCTCCAAGATTTGCTGCCAGGTTTTTAGAGTTTTAATTTTTTTTTTCTTTAGCTGATCCTCCCTTAGACAGATGGCCTTCTAACCAGGGGTAGGCTTCAAAAATTTTAGCAATGGGTTCTCTGTCCCATTGTCAGGTGGGCCTAGCCATGGTGGGTGTGTCTTAATCGGCCTCCTGCACCATGGCAAGGAGGGCCATTTTTGCCCTCCCTGGGTTCCAGAGGCTTTCCTCGAGCCTCTGGGAGGGTGAAAACGGCCTCCTCAGGCTCCGGAGGCTCTCTGGAAGCTGGAAACAGGCCCATTTCCAGCCTTCCTGAACTTCCAGGAGGCCTGTTTTTGCCCTCCCTAAGCCTCTGTGTGCACCCTGCACTTACTTGCATCCAAAACTGGCTACTTGGAGACTCCGGGGAGGGAAGGGGAGGGGAGGAGGGGGTGGGCAGAGCTAGCCAGGAGTTGGATTTGGGGGTTCTCCGAACTGTGCAGAATCTTAGCTACGGGATCTTCCGAACCCCTGCGAAACTCCAGCAGCCCACCCCAGTCCTAACTGCCTCTGTCCCCCACCCCCCACCCCAAAATAATAATAATGGCAAATGTTCCTATACACCTGGATAGGAATAGTTGGAGTGTATGAGGTGATGATTGCTGATAGTTTATTTTCTGTTAAACTCATAACATACAGAAATAATCATAGGCATCTAACTACAGATAGTCCTTGTCTTATGACCACAATTGAGCCCCACATTTTCTGACACTAAGCAATTGAATTTGTCCCATTTTACGATCTTTCTCACCACGGTTGTTAAGTGAATCACTGGAGTTTTTAAGTTAGTATCCAATCGTTAAATAAATCTGGCTTCCCCCTTGACTTTGCTTGTCAGAAGGTTCCAAAAAGGTGATCAAATGACCCTGGGACACTGCAGTCGTCATAAATATGAACCAGTTGCACCCAAATTTTAATCACGTGACCATGGGAATGCTGCAACAGTTGTAAGTGTGAAAAACGGTCACATGTCACTATTTTCAGTGCTGTTGTAACTTCGAACGATCATTAAATGAACTGTTGTAACTTGAGGACTACCTGTACATTTGAATTAATCTTCAAACAGTCAAAACTGCTTAGGCCAATTTTAAGTTCACATCAGGAACATCCATGAAAGTTGAGAAAACCATCTCTTTAATTCTATACACAAATCTAATGTTATTGAGAACAGATATGAAGAAATTCTTCATTGACAAAATCTGCCCCATAAATCTATAATAAATCTACATATCTGTTTCTCCTTTCTCCTTTTTGAGTTAACTAACAATTGACTGATCTTTTCTTGACCCTGAATCTTTCTGCCATCGATTTTTGTTTACTAAACTGCTTTCTCTGGGGTGAGAACCGAGGGCAGCTTCAATCTTTACAATAATAACTTTCTGACCCTTACCTTTGTCCAGAAAATAAAATCTATTTTTGAGAGAGGGGGGAGAGAGAGAACAGCTGTGAGCAATTAATCATACTATCTTCAAAGCAGTAAACAATAGCAACAAATTCAAATTCATTTCTGTAAAAATTACCCTTAATTAAATAGAAAATAAAATAAAATGTTACTGTTCATCCATTGCTACTTTCATCAGTCTACCTAAGCTGCTGACATGGTTATTCTATTAAAGATAGAATCCGGTGGGACAGAATTGGTATGATATTGTTTTTGCCAATTTATTTAATACTCCCAATATCATAGGCCTATTAAAACATTAATAGTGTCAATAAAGTAAAAGTTAAATTAAAGCCCATAAGGAATTTACAAGCAGATGGGTTAACCAAGAAGCAATGTCCATTCATAAAAGTAAACATTGATGTGAAAATGATTCAATTTCTTTTACTCCTCCATGCATTCCCTCTTCCAATTGAATATCCCTTTAGAAATATTTTATGAGTTGACAAGAACATTTCATTTGTGAAGATATTGGCATAGCATAGCATGCCACGCTACAATATATGATGTCTAGGAAATTGGATGAGGTGAAGACTTCCATTGGCTATGTTGACTCTAATCCTTGGCTACTTATCTCAAAAGTTAGGATAAAACTAACTAAATTCCACAAGCTGCAAAATCTTTGTGGACGTGATCTATATTCTCAACAAGCTGGATATGAAGGATGTGAATCAAATCTATGAATGAGGAAAAGTGATCCAAGGTTTCCAAGATGTACCAGCAGCACAAAGTCATGAAATGTTGTGGTCAGCCATTCAATTCTCTACGATAAATCACTTGCCAGAAAGAAAACAGTTGTTACTGTAATAGAACCAGACTGTTTCTTATAGGATTTTCAGAGATCTAAAGTCAAGGAATAGAATCCTGTGCGCAAAGATCTAGCAGCAATTAAAAGCTGTGATACAATATTGGAAAGAAAGAAAACATAAATGTTCATCTGGAAAAATGTCCCAGCCTTCCTAGTTCGAGTACTGAGGAAGAGATACTAACTTCAGAAAAAAAAAAAAACAATTTTCATCAAGCTTCTACTGTCAAAAGTGCTAATTTCAGGAAATTACTTCCATGTGGCCATACTCCAGATTTCCCAAAGTTCCTGTTACATCTAGCCTGCACCATGAATATCCAGTTTTATGCATAATTCTGTTAACAGCATAGGCATTCATGTTTGTTCAAATGCCACAAAATTACTGCATTTTCTGCATTCACCATTAAATATCCTTAAACAACAAATGTTTGTATTTTTGTTGTTGTTGTATTAATAATTGGTACAGATCAGAGACAACATCTGAAAGTGCTAGTACACAGGAAGTAATTATTGGTGTCAACTTCCATGGTGATCAGAAATGATACAAAAGATGGTGTTCCAGGGATCAAATACATTGAAGGAAAAAGTTGTTTTTTACACGGCCTGCAATAAGGAATTTGGGATCCAAACCAAAGTTTGGAAACAAACATGGGATAGCAGTTACTCAGATTCAGTGAGAAGATTTTCCTTGAGCCATTGCTAGAAGATGAATTGAACAACGGCAAACTTAAGACTTTCAGCAAATTTTATGAGATTGTTGTGGGTTGAAGTTAAGCTTTGGAATGTGGAATCTGTTGGACCTGAAAGATTGGGAAGAAAATTTTATGAAATGTAATGGTGGAAGACCTATGGTCTACCTATCTAGGAATAGAGAATGGGAAAAATGTGGTTTGGTCAATGTTGCAAATCACTGTGCTTTTCAAAGGAAAATATTGAATAAACCGCCTGTCTTCAGCCAAGCAGAGAACAATTAAATTAGTTGAAAGATTAAGGCCCTGTCAATCCTTGGTTATCATAAGGGAGAAGGATCTTGGATCCTAGTGGAAGATCACTTGAATATGAGCCAGCAGTGTGCTGCAGCTGCCAAAAAAGCCAATGCAATCCTAGGCTGTATTAATAGAGGCATGTAATCAAGATCACATCAAGTGTTAATACCACGTTATAATGACTTGGTAAGACCACACTTGGAATATTGCATCCATTTTTGGTTGCCATGATATAAAAAGATGTTAAGACTCTAGAAAAAGTGCAGAGAAGATCAACCAAGATGATTAGGGGACTGAAGGCCCCTAATATGAAGAACGGTTGCTGGAATTGGGTATGCCTAGTTTCATGAAAAGGACCAAAAGGACTTATGATAGCAGTAATCCAATATCTCAGGGGTTGCCACAAAGAAGAGGGGGTCAACCTATTCTCCAAAGCAACCAAAGGCCGGACAAGAAATAATGGTCTCCGGTCTATGACTGTAATAAATTGAATTGTTTGATTGAGAAACAATGGATGGAAACTAATCAAGGAGAAAAGCAATTTGGAACTAAGGAGAAATTTCCTGACAGTTAGAACAATTAATCAGTAGAATGACCTGCCTCCAGAAGGTGTGGGTGATCCAACACAATGGGTTGTTCAGAAGAGATTGGACAACCATTTGACTGAAATGATATAAGGTTTCCTGTTTGAGCAGGTGGTTGGGCTGGAAACCTCCAAGGTGCCTTCTTACTCTGTTGTTCTGTAATAAAACATTCAAGGTGCGAAAATACATGTGTATGGTTGGGAGAGAACAAACTAATATAAGTGAAAGTAATATAATAATCTAAAAGCAGAATAAAACATTTTTAAAGATGATCAAAATATTGATGGATCTCTGTTTCTGATTTATAACCCACCCACCCCCAATAATTAAAAAATAGCTTCATAGTCTTTCTTCGTGAAATTTATTTCTATTTTATTTGCCCATGGAAAGTCTTCCTCATGCCTGATTTGAAAGAGTTTTCACTTCCCGTATAATGCTGCCTACCTCACAGCAATGGTCAGCTATAGCTTTGTGGGAATAGTCAAATTCTGCTTAAGGACAAAACTCTGTGCCATGGTGCTTTCATCATAGTTGTAATGTGGGGTGAATTCAGGAAAGTGATGGATGGATTTCCCTGATTTTGTTTCCTTTACTTTCAAGTGTCCCCAGCTGATGGGAGAAATAAGCACCAATTGGTCTCCTTTCCATGTGATGTGTTAGGGTTAGGCAAGTATAGGTGGGTACCTAGATGGGATTCAGCCCCCTTGATGCCATGAAACAGCACTAAAAAAAAAAGATTACTGGAACATGGTCATGCCATAGATAGGGAAATGGAAGGAGAAGTTTTATGATCTGCTGTTTATGGTATCACACCCACAATCTGTTGCAATGGGGTTTGGTTTCCTCCAACTAACACAGTTTCTGCATTCTTCACAACTCAATTAAGCAGAAAAGGCCCTTAGCATTATTAATTAAACTTGTGAAGCAAAAAATCTTCACTAGTTGAATTAATAATGCTAAGGGACCTTTCCCCATCCTTTCATTATTTCCTGAATATTTTTGTCCTAAAATTAACCAGGAGAATTTTATGTTCTGGTGATAATGCATTTATTTATTTTTATTGTAAACTGGCTGCTGGTCGACATTTGACTGGAAATATCGGGCTTGTAGAAAACTGCAAAGTTGTCAGAAGTGTTAGAAATCATTCTGGTCAAAAGTCTTACAGGATTTCCAAACAGTCTATTGAAAATTGAACATCGTGATTAGTTGTGGAATGCTGACCAATGAAGAAGAAAGAAGTGAAAACCAAGGCTGAAGAGTTTGAAATATATGATTAGTAGTGTCCTTGGTGTTCTCTGAGATTGATGTGTTTTTTTTAAACACATCTCATTATCCAAACTGCATAACATCTTCAGTGTTAATAGGAAGTGGGATTTTCTCTCAATTTATAGTTAGAGTTTTCTCCTGAGACATTACATTACACATCTGTCAACATCCAGTTGGTGAATCCAGAAAAAGAAATTCCTGGGACATTATTTTACCAAGAGTGTAAACTTTACTGAATAAACCACATTGGCACAGAAGAAGCAAAACCAGTTCTGAGCTTCCCATGCAAAAGCAAACATAATTTATTCCCCCTTTCCCCACTGACCATCCACAGTCCCTTATGTCCATCAATCACTTCTGTTCATTTTGTTATGGGAATCAGCCAACCATGCTGGGACATCTGTCCAGAGTGTCATTGAGAACCAACAATGCTTGGATGCCATTCCCTCCATCTTTGCACCCCATTCCAACCCCATCGCCCCTATTCTTTGTCAAGTTGTGAGCGAAGCGGAATATAGGGAAAAGTGTGAATCAGTCTGACAACAGCCCTTATTTCTACTAGTTCCCAAATCAGATCATTTAATTTGCTCAGCTTTCATTTCTTTGCCACTTCTTTGCATTCCCTGGCATGCTACTAATGTCTTCATGAAAAGGCAAGCAAACTTGGATGTCTTTATGCGTAATTCCTTAAAGATCGTTTTTGTATTATGTGTGCATTAACTACAGTATGTGGATGCAGCTTGATCTGCAGTTAAAATGGAGAGTAGGCCATTCAGTAATTCTCTTTCAGGAGTCCCAGGATTTGAAAACCAGTCTAGACAAAATTTTCAGTTGAATTCAGATGAATTTATATCTTGTGTAACCCACAATTAGGCTCCAATTTTTAGCATATTTCTACAGGTATCCTTTATGAATTTATGGAATAGATTTTTTGTAGTGCAGGATTGAATTGTGGGGGTCTTTGGTATTCTATGAACTTGGTTTTCTTACAGAGAGTTCATTAGCCAACTAGCTAATATCAGTGCATGATGATGGTGATTGATAGTTATGATGTGATGATGTTTGTTTGTTTATTTGAAAAATTTATATTGCAGCCTACTTGCTCAAGGCAACTTACAGGATATAAAAACACAATATAAAAGAAATAAAATAATAGACACCCTCCCCAACCTAGCAACATACACACAATAATACCAGCCATTTAATAGGCTCCATTCTGCTCTAGGTTGTTATCTAGTTGTGTAATGAAACTTCTGCAAGAAAACAACCAAACTCAGAAAACACCAAGGACCCCACATTGTGTATTTATTTATAAAAAAAATTATGGGCACCCATCTGATGAAATAAAAATTTGAGCAGTTCACAACACAGACCTTTTTTTATAAATGCCTTTTGTTGGTTTGTGACATTCCCTTTCTAATTCTTTTTCTTCTCCCCCTTTTCTCTTGCAATGATGCCGCACAGAAATTAACGTTACCGATCTAAATCAAGATGTCTTGACAGTATCAGGCCTTCAAGGGAAAACCAGTTACCACCTGACGTTTAGAGCCTATACAGCTGCAGGATCTGGACCTGTTAATACCTTGAATGTGGTTACAAAGGAAAATGGTAAGTAATGAGAAAATTCAAAATTTGTTCTCCACTTAGGCATTGTCATGAGTTGTTAGAACAAATTGTATGTAGTCCTTAGCAAGCATTAGACTGAGTTTCAGTATTTGTTAAAGACAGGGGTGGACTTCAAAAATTTTAGCAACGGATTCTCTGCCCGGTTGCTGGGTGGGCGTGGCCATGGTGGGCATGGCCTATTTGGCCTCCTGCACCACGGCGGGGTGGGAGTCATTTTTGCCTTCCCCAGGCTCCGGAGGCTTTCCTTGAGCCTCCGGAGGGTGAAAATGTCTTCCCTTGCTCTAGGAAATTGTCCCATAGGCTTGATATTGACTAACTGAAATATTGCTGTCTTATTGGCTTTTCTCTCTTGTACTTTTCAGCTTTGGGATTGATCATTGCCATAATTATCCCGGTGTCTGTGGTTCTTGTGTTCGCCGTTGTAACCGGGATTCTCTGCTACCGGAAGAGAGAATGGTAACTTTGGCATCCAGCCATCTTAATTTCCTTTTTCTTCTACCAAGAGAAACAGATTCTGGCATATGTTCTTGCATTAATCTATTTGATATACTCCAGATGGTATATAAACTTTATGGTCCATATAGGTGAAGATTTATTGATCAAGCATAGCAGTCTCCGGGCACACACTAAATCTCTTGGGCTCCTAGAATTGCATTTCACTGGGCAAGTTTTTGGGAGTTGTCACTGGAATTTGTGTGGCAACTTTGTTGAGGATGTTGATATAGCCAGACTCAGAATGGCCAGTTGGCTGATGCTAGAATAAATCTCTCTAAGTATTATTTTGGAAGGGCAGCCACTCCTAAAGTTCATCCAAAGCTTCTTTGAATTTAAGGTTTGAGAATATGAAGAAAAAACCCCACTCTATCAATAAAGGAGAATGTTTGTAGCTCAGGGATGAAATGAGGGGTGATTTCTGAGCTTAGTTGTTTTCTTGCAGTTGTGTGATTGTGTAATCAACCATGTAACCTAAGTGCTGCACTGATGAAATAATCAACCATGTAACGTAAGTGCTGCACTGATGAAATTACCTAGTTTGGGTAATGAAACATCTGCAAGAAAACAACCAAGTTTAGGGAGTAACAAAGATCCTTCAAAAATCTCTATAAATGCCCACTGCTCAAGACCCATCTTTGGAAACCTTGAGTTTCTCCCAGCCCCACATGAAAAAACAGGAGGGGCTGTGAAAACATGTCTCATTTTGATGGCAGTTCATAATTTAACATTGCTACCTTTATTTTGAAAGGATTAAAGAAGTCTTCTATCCTGACATTCCAAACCCAGAGCACTCCAAAGCTTTGGATTTCCCAAGAGATTCAGAGGTAATGTGTTCCATTTTTTTCATCCAAATAATATCATAAGAATGCTGATGGATGGGGGTGAGGCTGGGGAAGGGCAAGATAGGGAAAATCTTTCATTTTCAGATTGGGCATGAATGCAAGGACTGAAAAAAGTGTCTTCAGCTTTTGAAGAAATGAGTTGGTGGCAGGAGTAACTTCCGGATTGATGGACATCCATAGGAGGGCAAGGGGCAATGATGGTACATAGGCCAAGACTTCAGAAGGGGCAGACATGATGTAACTTGCATATTTTCATAATGACTTCATGTACATCAGGGTTTCTCAACTTCAGCAATTTTAAAATGTGTGGACTACCAGGATTCCCCAGCAGCTGAAGTCCATACATCTTAAAATTGCTGAGGCTTAAAAATACTAAAGTATGTCATGACATTGTGGCTTCTAACACAGTAGTCGCCAGGGACCACTGGTGGTCCGCAAAAATTTTTTGGTGGTCCTAAGAGAAATTCCCCCCCCCAAAGCACTCCCCCCAAAGCAATTAATCCAGGCTGCATGGGAACACAAGGCTGTGCCGCCCACATGGCGCGCCCACCTGCCGGCCCTCACCCTTCGGCCAAGCACGAACTTTACCTTGAGTAGAGCCACATGAGCTGGAACTGGAAGGTAAGACCAACGGCGGGGGAGGGAAATCCGCCCAGGGGTGGCTTGCTGACATTGGTGAAAAAGTCGGTCCCATATTCCAGAGCTGCAGTAGTCACAGGACTGGCCCTTTGTTCCTCCCAGAGCAGCTCCTCCAGTCCATGGCAGGCCGGTGCACCCGGGTGGAGGAGCAGCTCCTCTGGGATAACCAAAGGGCCAGTCCTGTGATTACTGCAGCTCTGGAATATGGGACAGACTTTCCCACCAACGTGAGCAAGCCACCATCAGTCAAAATTCATACTAATGGTCTGCAGGATTTAAAATTATGCATTTGGTGGTCCCTGAGGTCCAAAAGGTTGGTGACCCCTGTTCTAACAGATAGCTGTGGAATGACAATTAATGTTTAGCTAATTTTTAAATCCTCTAATTATCAACTGCTTTTTTCAGCCCACTAAGTGCCTAGATGGAATGCACAGGTTTTAATCAAGTAGTTTTACTACTATGAATAAGCTCATCCACAAATAAACTAGTCCTTGGATTTTTAACTAAAATACCATTAAAATGTGCTACCAGTGGATCCTTGAAATTTTTGTATGTTTTTTCCCAATATATTCTGAAGGACTTCATTTGTTGCATGTTTTGTATCAATGAATGTTCTTTTCCAGAACAAATATCATTTTCAATTTTCACAACCGACATCTACAGATATATAAGGGTATTTTAAGAGTATTACCATATATACTTGTGGATAAGCCCATCCATGTATAAGGCAAACCCAGTTTTGGGATTGTATTGTGAGTCTTTTTTATTAGTTAAGTTAGATCTTATTTGCAGTGAATGCCCAAGTTTGTGAAAGTCTGAGCAGCATTCTTAATTAAATAGGATGTCATTGCTTTTGGCGTTTATTGTGTAAAGGAGCCTTCTGCTTTTGAACCAGTTAGCTGGCTTGCAGCAAAATAAAATTAAAAAAAAAGGTTTGATGGAAGATGGAAGTGGTGGGACTCATCTCCAGACGGGATGAGTCTGCCTACCGAGATGAGGTAGACCGGTTGCTTTTGTGGTGTGGAGACAATAACTTGGTCTTCAACACCAATAAGACCAAGGAGCTTATAGTGGACTATAGAAAGAACAGATCAGATATCTAGCCCTTGCTTATCAATGGAGACCGAGTGGAGCAAGTGACACTAAGTTTCTGGGTGTTACCATAAAAAAGCACCTGACCTGGGGTGCTCACATTGCAGCACTGGTTAAAAGGGTCCAGCAGAGATCTACCCAAGACTTCTCAGCAACAAACAACAACTAAATTAAAAATTGCTGGTAACCTTAAACGCTGCACCCTAGAGAATATCTTAACTTATTGCACCTGTGTATGCTTTGCCAGTTGCACAGAGGCAGATAGGACAGCACTCCAGAGGGTTAACATCATTGCCCAGAGGATCATTGGTTGCCCTCTCCCCTCTTTGGAAGAGCTTTATAGCTCCCGCTGTCTTAAGAAAGTTCAAAACATTCTTAAAGATCCATCTCATCCTGGGCACCCTTTTTTTGAAGTATTACCATCTGGCAGACAGTACATGATAATAAAAACAAGGGCAAATAGGCTGAAAAACAGCTTCTATCCCAGGGCAGTAGCTCTGTTGAATTCTACTGTATAATGGAATATTAATGCGATATCAGGGATTTTTCAATTCAATAAGTGGAGTGTGAGGGATGTGTTTTTGTGTTTATTTTCATAGTCATAAATTGTACACTGAAGATGGTATTTAATTTCACTGTATGAGGTGCAATGACAATAAAGTAAAGTAAATATGATGTAAAATTTGCAATATTTAGTCAGCATTGAGCAAATTCTGGAACATTTCTAGAATCTCTTTCCAGCCCCTGAAGCTAAAATAAAATATTCATGTAAGAATAAACATTTTTTTTAAAAAAAAGAAAGACAAATCAGCAATAAAAGAAAAGTGATGTAATTTTCCTTTCACTCCAAAATAATCCAGTTTATTTACATCTGCAAGGGCTGAGTATACCAAGCTTATTTTATTTTCTGATTGTAGGGGAACTCTAATTCTAAAACCCTGGAGATGAATCCATGTACTCCCAACAACATCGAAGTGGTTGAAACCCAGTCCCAGTGTCTGAAGATTGAAGACACGGCCATTACATCACCTGTTATGGAAGACCCTCCTGAAGATGGCTTGGAGTCTGAATCAGGAAGCCACGTTGTGGTTTCCTATTGTCCACCCATCATTGAGGAAGTCATATCTAATCCACCAGAGGATGAATCTACGGTGTCTTCCCAAGTTGTTTATATTGATGTCCAGTCAATGTATTCAGCTCCAGTTAAACCAAATGAAGAATTAGAAGCTGATTGTGTGGTTTCAGCAGGTTATAAACCACAAATGCAACTCGCAATTAATAATTTCAGACAATTGGAGGAAACATCAGTGACAGAAGAGGACTCAGACAAGGGTGCAGGCTATAGACCACAAGTGAATGCATCCTCCTGGAATACAGGCTGTCCAGATTCTCCAGAATCCACAGAAAATGTCTCATTTGGGAGCCCTTGTTCAATTAATTCTCGGCAGTTTTTGATTCCTCCGAAAGATGATGACGATGATGATTCTCCCAAAGCTATTAACTCGGGATGGTCTTTTGCTAACATATTTCACACCAAATCAAATGAGTAAGACATGGTTGCCCTGGAAATAGCTGTTTGCTTGGAACAGTTTTGGAAGTACTATCTCAGAGCGTTGATTGTTTTATTTTGGCTAAGTTGAAAGATACAGTGGACATTTTATAATTGGTGGAAGTGCTAATTCACAACGTTTCAGGGAAGGTAGTTCTAACACCAAAGAGCAGCAACTGGTCTGCAACTACCTTTTAACAGTCTTCCTTTTACCCCACCCTGGCCCAATGCTGACAGTCGGATTCAATGTTCTTTATTTGTGACTATATTTATGACTTCCTATTCTGAGTATGCCAGAGGAAACATAAGCAAATAGAAGCAAAATTTATTTCTGCAGGTATCAATATGTCTATTAAGCCTCAAAGGGATACATATATGCAGGTGTGTTCAGGGTTAGGACTTGGTTGTCTAATCAAGAATATGCTTAAATTTCAAGAAAGTATATTTAGGTCAGCCTTTGTGACAGGATCTTATTGCTTAAAAATGCAGCAGATGGATGTTAAAGGAGCCAAACACTACAGGACCCATACACTACAAGTTCCATCCAGATGCTGAAAGTCCCAGTCACCAAAACATTATGAGATCACAAGAAAATGCTACAGCATCCAACACTACAGTAATGAGTTGTGCGGTGGCCTAGAGGTGGAACTCTCGCCTCACAATCAGGAGGCTGTGAGTTCAATCCTAGGTAGAGGCAGATATTTCTCTCTTTGAGCACACTGAGAATATATCTGCTGAAAAAAAACCTCTGCATTGGCAACAGGAAAGGCATCCGGCCTGTAAACACTCAGCTTTGTTCAGTTGCCCAGACACCATCCCGCAAGGGATTATGGGATCATTAAAAGATGATGATGTCAAAACGTTATAGTAGTGCTGCTGACGGTTTTATGGCATTAGATTTCCAGCTGCTTTGGAGAGCCATTGTTTAAGGCAGTTGGTTCCTTTTTAATTCCAGTAGAGCTTGCCAATCAAAGCTTGCAGTGTTATGTTTATGAGCCTGCTGTATGCATGTATATACAATAATTTTGACTCAGGATACCACACAAGTGTAACACTGATTTTAAAGCTTAGTCAGGTATAGATAAATGTTGGACTTCTAGCATATTTTTTCAATAAATTTTATTTTTCCATACTTAAAAAAAATAGAATACAATGTGTGCTATGTCCTCACCTTAAACGAGAGAGATTATTAACTGTCTTCCTGTCATCCCACTTCCTAGCACTGATGTGGATCTAGGCATCCTAGTGGATATTTGGTTTTTAGGAACACCCAACACCCCAACTATGTCTCTTTCAGAAAGAGATTGATGAACGAGACTGTGCCGCAGAGATGTGCAAAATGTTCCGTACACACATTATTCTATATGCGGGAGAGCTCATTTTGTGAGATTTGTGTCCCAACTGAAAACATGCACGTTTTGAATGCATGGACTAAAGCAAATGTTTGTTTTGTTTTTGAGCAAAAAAGAGTTGGAGGACACAGGGAAAAAGCCACGACATCAGCATGTCGTGGGAGAAAGAAAAGGACATAGGCCCACTGGTGGCAGCAGTGGCTGAGAGAAGGGAGAAAAAGTCATTGGGAAGATAGGGATTAGTTGCATTCACAGAGAGATACAATCAAGATCAAGTGAGGTATACTAATACCACACTATAAAGCCTTAGTAAGACCACACCTAGAGTACTGCATCCAGTTTTTGTCACCACACTATAAAAATGGTGTTGAGACTCTAGAAAAAAGTACAGAGAAGAGCAACCAGGATGATTAGGGGACTGGAGACTAAAACATATGAAGAATGATTACAGGAACTGGGCATGGCTAGTCTAGGGAAGAGAAGGACCAGGGGAGACATGATAGCAGCGTTTCAATATTTGAGGGGCTGCCACTGAGAGGAAGGGGTCAAGCTATTTTCTAAAGCACCCTAAGGACAGACAATGGATGGAAACTGAACAAGGAGAGATTCAACCTGGAAATAAGGAGAAACTCTGACAGTGAAAACAATCAACCCACGGAACAGCTTGCCCTCAGAAGTTGTGGGAGCGCCATCATTTGAGACTTTCAAGAAGAGATTGGACTCCCATCTGTCAGAAATGGTGTAGGGTCTCCTGCTTGGGCAGGGGGTTGGACTAGATGACCTACAAGGTCCCTTCCAACTCTGATCATCTGTTATCTGTATGTGTCATATAGGGACTTTGGTGATTTCTGAGAGGCTGGAAAGGAAAAGGAAATTGCAGGGAAAGAGGGCAGTGAAGAAAGATATACCATGTCAGAAAGTGTAGAGAGAGCAGAATGTTTTCCCTATGTCATCCATACTCTTATGTTACAGTCTTCCAAAATCATAGGGTGCTTAAATACTATTTGGAATCAGCTTTCCAACAGCTTCTCTTCATCATCTCTGGGGAAAACCCATTTGGTTTGGGGAATGGCCAACTACAATACTCAGTTGCCTCCAACTCTGAATTTCCCTGCAAACTTTTTACAGGGGGAAACAGTACGGAGCCCAACGTGCTTTGGGAATCTGATAAATACTACCAAGCAATTTAAAATTAAGTCCTTTGGGATACGGTGAGGTGGAGTAGTTTTAATACAAATCGTAGCACTTAGAGTGTATTTCTCGCACATGTAAGACTGCAATTTCACACAACTCATTAAATTGATATTTATGCACACTTCTTTGAGGTGCTTAACAAATTTAGCTTTTGTAATTGGCAATTCAATACTTTCTGTGCAGCATGTATTTCAAAAATCAAGTCAAAGGATACTGTTTGGTTTCTTCTCTGGACTATTGAAATCAATAGAAGATTTCTTGAAAAATGTGGAATGCTCCCATTTTTCCCAGATTATCTTCAACTTAGTTATATTCAAGTTTACCAAATTTGGATAGTAATTTTAAGTCACTTTAAGATAAATGATTAAAAATGGATGGAAGTTTGATTTAATCTTGAGTTTTCAGAAAATGGTCAAATTTATAGTGTGCCTTTAATGTATGGGGCTTTTGTTTAATGCTTTGATTCCTCTACTCAGTTTCCACATTTATCATCTTTAAAAAGATGTTAATCGTATTTGTCCTCAACTATTATATTTTTGTAAGCCTTTTGAAATCTCTGTTTTTTTGAGATAGCAGTTGAGGTATCTGCATTGATAGTAACAACAAATATTTCCAGTCCAAAGATGAGTTGTTGCTTTTACAATTAACACAGTGGCCTTCATTTTCTTAAACTACTTTTGCAGATTTCCAGAGTTTGACAGAATTAGATTTTTTTTCTACCCAAAGTAACTGACCATGCTAAGCGCTGCACGTTTTCGATACTTTAATAAAGATGAAATGTGTGTGTGATTAAATGAATGTAGGTATCCAGGCAGTAAGACATTACTATGTGTATGTCTTTAGTGCAACGCTGGTGTCTTGGAAATAAAGCACCTTTAAGTCCTTTTTCAAGAGAGTGGTCCATCCCAACATATCTGAAATGTGCAAAAATTCCCAAATCTGTAAATGTTTTCCATAAATACATTTCCCCAACCGGGGCACCTTTCAAGATTTCAACTCTCAGAATTCCTTGGTTAACATGTTAGTTAGCATGTTAAGAATTCTGGGTGTTGAAATCTATTAGGCTGGGAAGGGTTGCTCTGTATGGTATTTAATCTTGATATCTTGGAAAAGAGGAGAAGGGAAAAATAAAGGGGACCTCCATTTATTTATATTGCTCCAGGTTATTTTTATAATACTGCTTAATTTTGTAAGCATCTCTAGAACTTCAGGTGCCAGACTCTCTACTACACATATTGCCTTAATTTGCATGATTTTCTTTATTATTTAGACATAAGCCCAGATCTTTCTCTTGTTTCTGAGAAGTGTGTTGGAAAAATCAAACAAAAATCTATATAAAGAACACTATCCATATTATACCTCACATAAAGGACATAATTGAAATTCTTACCTTTTCTGAGAGTTTTTGAGAACCTTATATCTAAAATGTCAAAGTTTGGGAAGGGAGATATATTTTAACATTCTTTTGGGTTTATTTTATTTTTTTAATGGGAATGCTGCTCAGTTGGTTCCGGAGAACCTTTCAGCATTGAGCCATGTGCGTCATGTGGGCTGGAGGGGAGTAATTTTGCTATTTTTAAAAGAATTTATTTTTTGAAGGGCATAATTACATTTAATTCATTATATGTTTGTTGCTATGTATTGACCTATGAGGGAAAGGACTGTGAATTTTATTTTAGTTGGACTTCTTTTTAAAAAAAAATGGAATTGCATTTTTGAAGAATTAGAGTATTCATTTTAGTAATCCTTTGATATACCTCATAAAAGTGATTTGTCAGAAAGAGTAAGCTACACTAATCTTTGCAAAACAGCATTTTCTTATTCATGTGAAGACAGATTTACTGGGGAGCGATCTGCTGAACATTGGTTCTATGCTTTGGAGATAGAATAGACTGGTAGAGTTAGTTTTTAAATAAATATATTGTACATAAAACCATTGGACTGCCCTTACTAATTAAGAAGCAGGGATTACTACACCAGTGCGCATTATATCTTGGATTTGAGTGCCCATTATTATATTGTAGCATGCATCATCAAAAGATTTCAAAGAGGATTTTACTCGAATGCTTGATGTTAACTTTTAAGGGCAGTTCATTCCACTCCTGGCCCTGACACTCAGTTAGATGGGCCAGTAAGATGAACCAAATGGCACAGCACAAGGTGTCGGTTCACACAGCAAACTTCTAGGTATTCTCTTAACTGGGATGGCACATCTGAGGGGAAAGAATTGCCTTTCTTTCTTTCTGACAATTCATATAAATTAAGATGACCATCCAAGTGCTAAATTAAGGATGTGGAAGCCGCCATTACAGCCATATCCAGATATCTTTGCAAGATTTTTCTTGAAAAAGAAAAGGTAGAGAAAGAGGCACCTGACTTCTGTTAGAAAATGGCTTTTTGAAAGTTTTGATCTTTCTCAAAAGCATTCTTCTATGCAATGTCCTTCCTTTCACTAGGGCTTGAGGGATGTTGATGGATATTTTGCTTCAAGCCCTTAATGATCACGGACACTCAAGGATTCTGGCTGTGACAGTGGAATTCAGTAAACTATTCTCCATGGAACCCTTGTGTTTCTATACTCGGTATTTGAAAAAAGGCTTCAGGTTAATTGGACTCCAAATCATTGGCATGTTCAGATGTAAAGTTTAAAAAAGAAAAATTCCTGGAGCAGCTTTAGAATGATGATATCTTGGTTAAATGAACAGATGTTGCACTTTTCTGGAAATGTGCATGTGGAAAGTAGCATTGTGTGATCCGTTAAGAGTCAACTTCCTGTTCACTGGGCGGGGAAACCGAACAGTTCTGTGCTTTTTAAGAACTGTGAGAGCCACCGTGAAATGGTACACACTTCCCTTCCAGATCAGACAGATCTTGTTGGGTCAGCAGATCTGTCCTTGTGTAAGGGTTGGTTGAATGTTTGAAAACTTATCACCTGGTACCGGTTTTGGTGTCCGGGTGAGTGGTTTGTGTACTCTATAGTAGCATGCATAGATTTTTGTTATTTCTTGCTGTTTTTTCCATGAAGTCATATCGTCTTGATTGAGGGCCTTCATTGCGAATGTGAAATCTCCTGCAGTGAGATGAAATAGAGAGAAGAAGGATTTGTAGAGGGGGAACTCTACTGGGCAAGTGCTGAAGTGGGGGTGGGGTGTGGTTTGGGGAACATTCTTCAGAAGTTACTTGTAGATAAAGAAATAATGTTTGTATGATATATAATTGTTTTATAGCTCAATACAATCTGAAGGTTTTTATTCAAAAACTTGCAGCATATTAAATGTATAATACATAATAAATGTGAAGTTAATCTCAGTGCTTATTGGAATATTAAATAACCAGTGTAATATTGAATCAACTGGAAGACTCAATGTTGCTTAGCTTTCTTATATTTTCCTCCTCAAGCAATTTTATTTCTTTTTTTGCTTCTAGTCTATATAAAATGGGCTACTGATTCTGGCCTGTTGATGCCAGACAGCTCAGGTATGTTAAAATGTAGGTTAAATCATTCTACTCTTCTTAATTCTACTGTACATATTTAACTGGCAAAACTGCATTTCTGAAATTCTTTTTCCATTTCACCTTGTTCACTCACAGATTAACAGTTGATTGCTGAAAGACACGATCACCTTGCAGTTTAGGAAAATTCATGTTAAGTCTTTAGGACAAACTTAAATACCTGAATATGAGTTGCTTCCAACTCTTTGTTAAAACAATGCATCTTAAAACCAAAAGAGTTCGATGGGACTTTCCCATTTCCTGTGTTTGCTGTGCTAAACCCCTCTGAGTAGATGTGTGCAACATAGCTATGGACTGAGGCCAGTGTTGTGTAGACATCAATACGAGCAAAACAACAATGTAGCAGCTATATGATTCCTAGTGAACCTATCCAAGCAGATCTGTCGAGTAATAACTTTAGGGATAAATAAGGAGGAAAAGAGGAGGGAACATTAAACTATACAAGTAATGTAGCACTAATGCACTAAATTTGGAATGATTATGAAGCTAATATGCTACTATATAGCCCAACAGTGCTTATCCCTATAATATGCATGTATTAAGAATATTTGCCAGAAATACTGTCATGAAGTTTAATAAATGTATTTTCTTACCCATCATCCATTTGATTTGGTTTGGTTTCTGCCTCTGTAATCTTGCAGTTCTTACTCAATAAAAGC